TAGAAAAAATTCCATGTGGACCAGGCTGTAGACGCGTCGCGTGCATTTTTTTCTAGTAAAAATTTCTTTAAATTTAAACATAAATAGTATTAAGTTAATACAGGTAGTACTGCGGTGTTGGACCTTCAGTGCTCTGTCACACCGTATACATATATGGTAAAGGACGAAAGTATGAAATATGATACAGATCTAGCGTACCTACTAAATATCATGGAGGTACAGTAGGACCACTTAAATGAGTAATCAATTTGAAAATAGATTTATGTAGATCGATTGAACAATACTTAAAACCTGTGATAAACGCAATATACTTTCGCTGTGAATCGAACGGAATGGCTTAAATTCTTAGCAAAGGGCCGAAGGATTGCAACGAGCCTAGGGCTTAGATTAAAACAAAAAGGGAAGATAAGGCAAAGTGATCCGCTTTAATTGTGGTGCACGATCACAATTTGCTGTAGTCACAATTGGACATTCAAACACGCTGCATGTGCACTCAACATAATAATATTGAGTATATTCTGTGTTATCAAGATAAAACAATGCCTTCGATGCTTTTATAAACACAAATACTTCAAAATCAAATAACAATTGCCTCGGCAACTCTTCTCATTCATAAAACTGCAAAATATTTTTTCTCAAAAATCGCGGTATGTCGTGAATGTTATCTACGTAATCGCCATTTAGTTATCAAGAAAAGGACAACAATACAGCTCAGCTGTTCGCACTCGGAAGCGGATTCGCCGTTTCGCTCTCTCTGCATTGAAACGTACAAGTTCTGTCTCGCTCGCTCGATTGAGTGTTATTTACAGACGTGTGCGTGTGTGAGAGTTGCTTAAGTAGTTGAGTCGGATCATATTTTATTTGATGCTAGTATGAGCGTACCGTATCTACCCTTTTTGTTTTAATCTAAAGCCCAGGGCCCTATTTCATCAAGTTGACATATGTCACTATCATAAAGGCAAGTTGACAATCGTCTAGTGACAGGTGATAAGAGTGACAATTTTGAGAATTATTTATGGAATTTCGAAAATGACGTGCATTTTTTGACAAATTATTTTGTGAAACAAGGGTAATTTTTTAAGTCAACATATTTGACAAATTGTTGGTAATTCTTGACATGAGATCGGGGCCGAGTTCAATAGGGGTGATGACGGGGTAGAGTAAACGAAATTCTATTGAGTCCGTCAGTTAGATGCTCAAAAACTAATGGACACTTATTTTTTCTTTGGGCAATCAACCAAAAAATGACGAAGTTATAGCGCGTCAAAGTTTGGGAGTAGGGGCTCGTGACGTCACTTTTGAGTGAATTTTCACTTATAAGTGTACTCAAACGTGACATCATGCGACTTTTCAAATCAATATATCTCTGCAATGTTTATATTATGTGAAAAAAGAGAAAATACGTGTCCAATACTTTTTGATAATCTACCTGATAAACGAAGAAAAAAAAATGTCATCATCCCTATTGTATTGTTTTCGTTATTACTTACAAAATGGCTCGTCGCGAAAGTTTAAATATGAATTGTGGCGTTTGTGAATTATTACAAGCGCGTATATCACTTAGATTTATTCACATTATAATATTATATAAATAGATAACTCCTTACAACGTTTCCACTATATTTTTATGAGAATGAGACAAAAATACGAATTAAATATTCGTGGCAAAAGCCAAAAAGAGTATCAAAACGCTTTGGAACAATTTCTTATGTGCCTAAAATAATACTTAGTTTAGATGCCATGGCAGTATCAATTGGAAATACAATGATTTAGAGTAGAAAATATTTTATGATGGCGACATTGAATAAACGACTTTATTAGCTATGACAGAAGTATTCAAGAGATAGCACAACACAAAAATAAAATTGAAGTTCATACATCATCTCGTAATTTCTTTTTAGAAACAAGCCAAAGTCTCATCAAGTGACATCTTCAGTATTAAAATTTCTACATCGTCATAAATTACAGTTTTCAGATCTTTATCAAAAACTAAATACTAAGTTGTAACAATATGGTTATGGGGTTAAACTAATGAGGGCTATCGCGTATGAATCCGCCGTTAGGGTCGCCGCACACGGGCCACCGGCCACAACAACAAAACACCGCCACCGGCATATTTCCTGCAGTTTACATAGATTTTATATGGACTCGCCGTACAGAGTTAACGCCGGTGCCCGCCACACGCCACAAATCAATTTGGCACCGGCCACTATTGCGCCGATACAAAACGCCGCCACACGCCACTCACGCAATTCCCCACCTTCAAACCTTCTTCGTCAGAGTCCATTATGATACTGCACGCATGTGTTAAAAAAAGTAGCAGCCAGCGACGGCAAGTGTCGACCACCGGCCACAAGTGGCTTTCGCGCTCTTCAGCTTCCTTTGTAGCCGCTTCTAGCTTATCGTGGCCACGTTTGTGGCTGTGGCGTGTGGCCCGTGTGGGGCGACACTAAGTGGCGCTTGTGTAGCGTGAGGTCCGAAATGTCAAATATTATTGCTTGTTGGTTCGCTGCGCGGGTTTATTTCTAATTAACATAATGTTGTGAATATTTGGTAATAACTCAGATAAATTATAGCAAATATGATTCACGTGCCAACGAATGTCAGTTATTTAAAAGCGCAGCTAATAAAAATATTATGTCTTCCTTTTTTTCTGAACAAAACTGAACTGCGCAACACTGTGGCAGGGCTGATTATGTTTTTACGATTCAGTTTTTTTGTATTAAAATACTAGTGGCCCGGCTTCGCTTCGCTTCGGTGCAGAGCTATTCGATTTTTTCTCTCCTTTCAAATCTTCCCTAGACCTCCACGAACATTTCAAGATCAAGATAAGATAAATCCGTTCAGCCGTTCTCGAGTTTTAGCGAGATTAACGAACAGTAATTTATTTATTTATATATATATATATATATATAGATTGATGATTTTGAAAAGGAAACTTTGATTCTACGCGCTTCTTAACAAACTTTAAAAGCTGCACTACAGGACCTCGCTCAACAGTGGCGCAAAACGGTAGCCCTCATTGGTAACGATCGCACGATGACGCGATGCGTTCTCATTTTCAAACATAAAGATTTCTTCAGAAGTGTCGCTCGAGATCATGTACATTTAGGGATGAAACGATACTATCTAGGTATCGATACATTTACCCGATACTGTATCGGTCATAAAGTATCGATGCCTACTTGATATTACATGAAAAGTATCGATACTTACTTGTATCGATCAATTTTGACGAACGGTATTACAATTACAAATTCAGTCACAGTTTTAATTCAACGAAAACAAAATAACGGCTCACACTACGCGATGAACGAATGACTGACTGAATAAATTGGAATAAATATAAATTAGAAACAAGGCTGCCAACTGAGCAGTAGAAAAGATGCGTTTGCGAAACAAAAATTCCAACTAGACACCTTCCCATAGAGTAAATAATCTGCCAATGAGTTTTTTTAATACTGCTCAGTGAGTGACCGACCGAGTACCGATTCAAGTATTTACTTCACGATACTACTTGTTACTCAGTTCTAAAGTATCGATGACAAAAGTACTTGGTATCAAAAAAAGTATCGAGTACTTACTTGTATTTACTCGTATCGTTTCATCCCTAGGTACATTATTTTCATTGCACGATGTGATCTTATCATGTCATCGAACGATCGTTGCCAAGGTAACAATGCCTATAGGTAAGTGATTACCAACTGTCATTTCATATAAATGTACTTGCTCAAAATCCCGTAGAAATTGGATTTTGAATAAGCAAATATTGTTCCCAAATGCGCACAATAGTGTTGGCAAATGGGATGTCGATATTTTTAATACACTGGTACGCCACAAGATTTCACATAAATCTTGAAAATATGTAAAAATATAAAACGCTCATAATAAAATTGTAATTAATGATAGATGTTTACACTAAGATTCAAAATAACCGACTTTTCATAATTAATACATATTAATGGACATAATTTTCGGCCATGGTTTTTCAAAAAACGATAAAAGTACTTCATGTGATTGTCCTTTAACTTTATTTATGCGACGAATTATAAATGATATGGAAGCATTCCCTTCTAACAAAGGCTGAGACAAGGTTCCATATTCATAATTAAACTTCAACACTAACACGACAGCGACACACACACAGTCAAAACAACAAATACTTTGACAAATCAAATATCTGCAAATGAATCCGGCTGTCCATTCATTGGGTAAGAGATAATGTTAAACGGGACGCCCAACAGATCCCTTGATTTGCGTATTAATCGCAGTTTGTTCGCCCCGCCCACTTGATCGCACTTTTTAGGGCAGTTCGTATTCCATATCATTTGTAATTGGTTATATTTATGATATTACAACTAAAGAGAGTGTTCTGGAGGTTGTTCTCCCTTATCCCACCTTCGCCTTTCCTTCAGAGGACCACACATGCTGGCCTACGTTATCTAAGGAACCGCTTTGCCTATATTATAAATTATATTTTCAGTGCAAACATCTATTAATTATGATGGCACTTCACTTGGTTATTCGTGTTTGCTATTTGTAAATTTGACATCAGTCTGTCCTTTTCATTCAGCAGAACGCGCTAACCACTTGCGCCATCGAGCTCTTCGATAATATGAATACATACTAATAATATGAATACATCCATACATGGCACATAATTACTTTATTCGTTTCTTTTCTTTCAACACTGAAAAGCATTTATACGCTGAACCAATATATCTCTTATATCTATTCAATAAAGTCGCTATTATGATATTATTATAATAAGCACACCTCAATATATAATATCATTCATGCATACTCTCATAATGATTAGTCATTCTAATTTCAGTTTTACACTCAAAACATTAAAGGACATGTTTGTATAATCCCATCTAAATATTACCTATTTATAAGTCCCTTAATATTTTGAAATTTGCAATCTAAATATTGCCTGTATGTATTTTCAAAATCCTCTAACAAAGATCTGTAATATTCTGTTCCATTGTAAAATCTGTTTGTTTACTTACATAATAGAGCAAACATATTCAACTAAGAGGACAGTAGCCACAGAAGCCATCTGTACTTAGGGCAGTTCACATTCCATATTATTTCAAATTCGTTGCGGTATCCTGAGAAAGTTTGATTTCCAACATTTTTACCTTTTCTTATAGTTTCAAGAATTTCAACTTTTTGTCATCATGCAATGCAAATTAGTTGCTTTCCTTCGTCCATTTGAAATTGGACTTTATCCGAATTGGCCGCTTTGTCGGCAGTTTTGGATAAAGCACTGGCCAAGAATACAAGAGCTACACCCGTCGACGTCGCGAAGAAGGCCCAACCTAAAAAAAAATCAGTTTATTATCATCATCGTCAGTCTATTAATATCCTAACAGCTGGGGCACAGGCCTTCCCTATGGATGGCATAGAAAGAACGGGTCGTACGTGCGTCCTACAACGCGCTGACGGAACTCGTAGGTACAAGCATATATACTGAACGGCACCAACATCAGTCGGGGCTCTCAGAGACACCCTTTAGTTAAGCCGATCCCCTCAGGTTTGAGTGGTCTAGATGCTCCAGACGGAGAGGAGACTTTCCGTGGGGAGATGCCATCTGCCTAGAATACCTCTAGAGGAACTCGCCATTTCTCGGCTTGAGGTCCCTAGTAAGATCTCCCGTGCCCAAACCCGGTAACGCTGTAAAGGTCATCTGCGACCATCAGCATACACACTCAATAAAAAGAAACGGTAGGTTCGCGGCTAATCTCTACCAGCTCAGTCGATATTATAGCCGCTGCTGAAGCTCTGAAAGGTTAGTATCTTCTTTATGGATAGAATAGGGAGATTAGACCGTCATCCATCACGAAGACCCAGTGCGGATTGGTAGGTACTAACACCTGCAGATGCAGCTGGAACTGACGGATTAAGACGTGTCTGTGTGGGTCAATTGCTTTTACATACAAATATTCACCCACCTTTACACCCCCTTAAAGGAGGATTTCTGAGAAAATACTATCCTACGCCCTTTTCCGTGTCACATACTATTCCTATGCCAAATTTCAACTCAATCGGTTCAGTGGTTTAAGCGAGTAGAGATAACAGGCATACAGACAAACGCGCTTTAAGGAAGTCAATTTCCTCTTATTCAAATCAAAGCATAACAGTGGGGTGAAAAAATAGAAAGTTAAAGCCAAAAAAACGCGTGAATAAGCAAAACGTCATATCTTAACTTGTAAAAAAACATGCAATAAATTACATACCTTATAATAGTGTGTGTTAGTTCACCTTTCCCAAAACTGCGACGAAATGTTAGGTATGGTGCTTGCGTTTCGTTGTATGCAGTTTTTCATGCGACAGAACATGCTTGCTGTACAGTTGTTAGTGTTCACCATCTTCACCATACATGACATAATAGGGTATTTGACAAGTTTTACAAAATGAACTCACGTTATTGGCTAATGTTTATGGAGTGCGTAAAAAGTGGATATTCATCATTCTGTTGTGTATTTCAGTAAAAATAACCAAATCAAAAACTCCATTTTCAAGTTGCCGCGAAAACTTTTTTCTTGACAATATGGCTAGTGTGTGACGTCACACGACTGTTATTAAAACGTCAAACGATACAATGTAATGTCACTTTAACCGGAAGTTTAATTGCGACGTCATTTTAGGCTCCGCCGATCTCAAGCGTTTTGGGTCACGTGACAATAGAAAAGAAAACAATTATCTTTTTCGTGGGTTTTTAGTAAAATTATGAATATTTGTTTCTTAGGTTTTCACGCACATCACTCATTAAATAAAACTAGTTTTTACAGGCTGTAAAGGCTACGAAACGTCAATAAATAAATAAAGTTTCGTGCATTAATCCGTAAAAACTAGTTTTATTTAAAATTATGATTTTTTTTTGTAAAAATAGTAAAAACCCCTGCCAATATTCATTCTAAACACAGATGCTAACAATTGGCACTTTATTTTTAATACTGTCAAATAGCCTATTATATGAACAGTGCATGTCGAGTATGATAAAAGTGGCTTAAAAAAAAGCCGTTAAAAGCACACATCACTCACACGCGGATTATAAATAAACATAAAGAAAAATAAAGAACCAAGAATAAGTGAAACTTAACTTGCCAGCATCATCATCACAAATAAATACCAGCAGAAATACCGAAAGTAGGTATTTATTTCTATTCTACATGCTTACATACATAGTATCACGCCTTTATGATTGACGACCTCCGTGGCCGAGTGGTTTGTACGCCGGGTTTCATGGTGTCGCCGACTCGAGAGGTCCCGGGTTCGAGTCCCGGTGGGGGCAGATGTTTGTGTGATGAATACGAGCATTTGTACTCCAGTCATGGATGTTTAATATGTTTTTCTATATAAATATACTTATATATGTACAGTTTAAGTATTCTATCCGTTACCCTAGCATCCCATAACACAAGCCTTACAGTGCTTACTTTGGGGCTAGGCTAATTGGTGTGAGTGTTGGAAATATTTATTTATTTATCCCTTACGGGGTTGACAGAGACACAACACAACACTTGGCAAGTAAAATTTCACTAATTTGGATTTTTATAAACTATATAGGTACCACAATCAACCTAATTACTTATCACAATAGCTAAATTAGCATACGAATCCGTCCATGCGAATGCACGCGAAATAATGACCTCAGTTGACATAACAGACCGACCGCCGCGCCGCTTGTCGAAAACTTCAAGCGAAACGAAACCTTAACACGTGGCAAATAAAGATTGCAGGCTATCTAAGATCGGGTTATTTCGCTATCATATTTACGAGTGGTTGCATGTGGTATTAATGTGTATGTGTGCGTGAACTGCTACATTTTGTTTCAATACACAATATTATTAGCTGCTTATGCAGCGTACTACCGCGGCGCGGATCTGTGTGGTTGCACGATTTAAAATACATTGCGTCTTTTGTATCCAGCATATTGAAGATTGTTTTTACAAAGAGCGCAATGTAATTTGTGCATTAACGTTTTAAACATTACGTCAATACGGTCGCTTGTGCTAGAATGTATTAGTATTAGAATCTGCCAAGTGAAGCCGGTGGGAATCTTGTTCTAAGGAGGCTTCGCCACTGAAGCAACTCTTTTAAATCATCAAATTTTTTCCCCTACCTCCAGAAATTTTAGCTGTGGAGAAAAACTGTCAAAACGAACTTCACAGTGTTAAATAATAAGTGTGTGTAACAATATTAATAAAATATTCTTTAGCATTGATAAAGCACTTTAGTATAGATAAAAACAAAAATTACTTACCAATCGAGCAGTCTCCAGGTATATAGGGCTCCGAATACTCGCCACACAATCTCTTCACCCGATCCGCACCCCATCCCCAGGGGTATAACAGCAAACCGAGCACCCCAAATAAACCTAAACATATAAATGTCCAGTCAACATCAATAAATAAATAAATAAATATTTCTAACGCACACCAATTAGCCTAGCCCCATAGTAAGCTCTGTAAGCCTTGTGTTATACTAAGAAAACGGATAAACTGAAACATTGGATATGTATAGGTATTTTTCTAGAAATATATAGAAACATCCATGACCAAGGTAAAAATGCTATTATTCATCATACTCACATTTGCTCCCACCGAGATTCGAACCCAGGACCTCAAGTAAGCGAGACCTTGAAACCCGGCGTACATACCACTTGTCTATTAAATAGCTAACTCGGTATGTTACCCTTTGATACCTAAACCACTATATGAAACGATTTTAATGAATTTTGGTATAGGAATAAATAAAATGCAAGGACATAGTCTTCTTTATGTCAAGAAAATATACATTGAAGGAAATATGGTAATATTGGTATGGTATATATGGTATTATTGATATTGTGGGTTACCTATAATGCAAAGAGATGGCACTGCAGCTTAAGAATTACTAGAAGAAATTCGACACGGCCATTCAGGTCATGGTAGCATAATTCATGTGCATCCTCCCGGATAGTATAGGAAGCGGGTTCGAGATGCGTTTGCTTCCTGAACCGCATGGATTTTTTTCATGTCTTTTTTCCATATCTCCGTAACCGAGTGCGCGGTTTCAAGATGTCGCCTACTCAAGAGATCTCGGGTTCGAATCGTTTAATATGTATTTCTATATAAATATAGTTGTATATGTATCAGTATATGTATTCAATCCGTTACCCTAGTATCCCATAACACAAGCCTACAATGCTTACTTTAGGGCTAGGCTTATTGGTGTAAGTGTTGGAAATATTTATTTATTTATTATACCTAGCAGTTAATTACTTAAAATAAATCAAAATATATGGATGCTCTATGGATGTTGTACATACCTCCAAGTGATTGGGTAGCACCAGCCAAAGAAATCACACTTTTCTTAAACACAGCTTGTACGCAGCATGCCAGCACACCACCTAGCACCGTAGAAAACTGGACAGCTGCACCTGAAAATAATGTCAGAATGTGGAATACTAACTAGAAAATCAAAACCACAAATATAAAAAAATGTAATACAGTGGATCCCCGGTAGTCCGACAAACATTTTGCAGGGCAGTGTCGAACTATCGAATTTGTCGGATTGTAGAGTACTGCCTAAGACCCCCTATAGTCCGAATTTTTTTACAAAAGAGTACCTTGTAATCTGACAAATTACAGATCCAATGATAAGATTACAAATCATACTTTGTTATGTATGTCAAATTTAGTAAATTAAACAACACAATAGAAAGGTTACGTTTTATTATAAAAGTAACGTCATTAATGCTATAGAATTTACAAAAAAATATAAAAAAAACAATACCCTACGCGTCGAGCACAATAGTGATGGTGCATACAAGTTGTAACTTATTCAATCGTGTATTAGCGAATACTTGTATGTAATAGAAAATGTCGGATTATAGGGGGTGCCGCATTAGCCAGGGGCCGGATTACCAGGGCTCCACTGTATATATGTAGTACATATTGTCAACATAGAATTATATAATTAATAAAACCCAACATTTGTAAGACCTTATGATTAATTTTTTCTTCACATGATTCTCAGGTTTGTTTTATTGAAGTATGTACTAACATTTCTATTTTCTCAATGTACAATTTCTATTTTATCAAGTATACAAAGTAATTAAGTACATACATAAAGATAGGAAAAACATTGCAGCTTTCCACGGTTTTGGATAAATTGAATCTTGCGTAGCCAGGCCGTAGAAAGAAAAAGAGGCGCAGTTGTTGTTGTCATTCTTCATGCGGAGACACCTATAATTAATTTATAATTCCATTCTTGTTACAAATGATAAAAATGAAAATGAAACAAGTTTTTATAGGTAAGTTATTATAGATAACTAGCTGTCCCCGCGAACTTCGTACCGCCATAAAATAATAGGGGTTGGTGAGAGAAGGGTGAACATTTAGGATTGTATGTATTTTTGTATGATATAAATATAAAATCAAAAAATTTTGTCCAAATGTAAGGGTGGACCCTTAACATTTAGAGGGATGAAAATTGATGTTGTCTGATTCTGAGACCTACTGAATATAAATATAAAATTTCACGAAAATCAGTCGAGCCCTTTCGGAGTAGGTCAAACACGCACACCGTGACACAAGAATTTGATATATGTACTTGTAGACGGCTTTAAATAGAAACTTCTGCAAACATTATTATTATCGAGTAAAATAATATACAAGATAAATGGTAATGCTGCCAGTGTTTTGGGTAGCATGCCCCAAATTGGAATTTCGGATGACATTTCTTCTTGTGAATATGTATATAAATATTTTAGGGTTCATAAAATAACGACAATTCATTGTTTAATGTTGATTTCAAACAAACGTCCACTGAACAATTTATTAAGAAAATTTTTAAACAAGAAAATATAATTTAAAACTTTGGTAACGCAAAGTTTGTATTAGTTAAAAAAAAAGTAACATAACACAACCCACCTATTGTAAATCCCTACGCTGGGAATGTAAAAAGAAGTAACATTGTTCTCATTTAAAAGTACTGGCTGTCCCAGCAACCATTTCGGGGTCATAATCCCGGTTAAAATTAGCATAAACGCAACCACACTCAACAGAAGCCATGCCAAACTTCTTCCTGTTATAATAACGTAACACATTCTTTCTTAAAAAAATATCGCACTTTAAATAGTTTAAATGTCCTAGCGTGGCAGGGTTCTACAATACATTACACACATTAATTACTTAAATAAAATAAAAATGTAAAAAGACAAAATAAAAACAAACTTTCACAATTTATCGTTTACGAATAATTGTCAAATTTGACAATAGTGGTGTCGATTCTGTCATGATTCTTTATACCTAAACTTAAATTTGACAACTGTGTATCCTTGTTATTCTCTAGACAGAATGAAAAGGAGACATTGGTGTCGATTCTAGCACGATTCTCTAAATCTAAACTTAAATTTGACAACAGTGTTTCCTTGTCATTCTCTATACAGAATGAAAAAGAGAGACTGATGTTAAATTTAGTTTTAAGTTTAGAGAATCACGCCAGAATCGACACCATTGGTGTCGATTCTAGCATGATTCTCTAAACCTAAACTTAAATTTGACGGCAGTATATCCTTGTCATTCTCTATACAGAATGAAAAGGAGAGACTGATGTAAAATTTAGTTTTAAGTTTAGAGAATCACGCCAGAATTGGCACCACTGATGTTAAATTTAGTCTTAAGTTTAGAGAATCGACACCAATGATGTCGATTCTGGCGTGATTCTCTAAACTTAAAACTAAATTTAACATCAGTCTCTCCTTTTCATTCGGTATAGAGAATGACAAGGATATACTGATGTCGATTCTGGCATGATTCTCTAAACCTAAACTTAAATTTGACAACAGTGCATCCTTGTCCTTCTCTATACAGAATGAAAAGGTGAGACTGACCTTTAATTTAGTTTTAAGTTTAGAGATGCACGCCAGAATTGACACCACTGTTGTCAAATTTAAGTTTAGGTTTAGAGAATCATGCTAGAATCGACACCGTGTCAATCTTATTTTTAATTGTTTTAATTTTTTATATCTTTTGATAGTGAATGGTGCCTTGCAGCTTAAGAATGGCTAGTTATATTTTCTTTAAATAATATGTTTGTTTTTCATCATTTGTTTTTAATGATTTATACAGCAGGGCTGAGCACTGTTAGCGATAAAACGGGACGAATGGAGAGATACAAAATTAGTCATAACTTTTATTTTTGGGAATCTAAACATTAACTACAAGTTTTTCTTAGGATATGATAAGCAAACCCTTGCTCGACCTGAATTTGTTATTCTGTAAAAAACTAATTTTGTTAATGGTGCCGATTCTGGGTGATTCACATGGCTTAAAATTAAATTTAGCATCAGTCTTTCCTTTTCATTCTGTACACAAAATGACAAGGGTGCAGTGTTGTAAAATCAATATAGAAACCTCATGCCGGCTCCACATTTGTATCATAAACTGCCGTGAAATAATGACGTTAATTCGCGCCATGAATTTACAAGTGGTAAAGACTTTCTCGAACACTTCTCAGCCGTGAAAACCATCCACATTCATATTTGTCTGTGGCGTTTCACGGCCTTGATAAGTGTGGAGCCTCATTAATCTAAAGTGGAACCAGCATTATAGAAAACCAGAGATTAGGACCGATTTGGCTTTGGCTCTTTTTCCATTTGGAAACATAAAATGAACTTTAATATGTACTATGCGAGGTCTATTTTCAAAATTGTTTTTATTGTACTCAGTGCTGTTCTGTTACTTCTACCTATACAGTTACAGTCATGTTGTAGGACGTCCATGGTAAGTATGTACAGTTTGTCTATAAAGTCGTGACATTAATGTTTGAGGAACTAACATTATTCATGTGTCTGGCAACACCAAACTTATGTACATCAGCTGTCATCGAGTTTCAGTTGTGGAACAGTTTTCCTTTTGTATCTTTTATTGTTTGGATTAAACTGTAATAAATTAAGACGAAACTACGCAGAAAGGTATAAAAATGAGTAAAGTAAATCGGAGTGGCACGCGGGAAGTGATTTTTAAAGTTTTCCAGCGATGTTTCGAAGACTACCAAGCTGGATGAATTTTGTGGGATTTGGATGGTTTTATGGGCAAACAGCATCTATAACGGGTATGTAATCGTGTAACTATTTGTTTGTAATCTGCCTGAAGTTACAAATTTACTCAATTTACGATTTTGAGACCAAAAAAGGCATTGTTTACATTGCACATTTTTAGGTTAGATTTACATTGTAAATAGGTAATATTGTAGTACGACCATTTCTTTTGATACGTTATTATGGTTCAACTCGGTCAGGTTTTCTACCAATTTTGAATTAATTGCTTCATGTCAATAAGTTATTTTTTCTATTCCGTTACATATTTTTTTACTTTTTTTTTTCAGGAAAATCAGAGAGTCGGATAGTCAACGAAGGTTTTAAGAATGATGGAAAGTTTGAAACTCCTGGGAAAACAGGCAAGGCCGACCAAAGAAAGCAATGGTCACATAAAGAACCATGGCCAGATGCTTTTAGTGAAGATACCTATCACTAATATTACTAACTGCACATTTACAAATTGTTTCTCTAATTAAATTTTTTATATACTATAAAATGATTTTTAGTATTCTTTTCTTTACAAGTGTGTTAAAAAACGTCATATGATGATACTTGTGTGTATTGATGATTACCTAAAGGCTCTGGTCTCAATGGCACCTCAGCGGTAATCACCAACATTACACACTTTTACACCATAAAGTACTATTTTATCTATAATAATTTTATTCTGATTCAATTAAATATGCTTGGCTAAACTTTTTATAAGTAAGTAGTAATTTTTTTTACTATATATAAAACAAAAACAAAATACGACTGTATAGTGTGTCTTATTAATTACCTATTTTACTTGAATGAACTGCTAGTATCAAAATCATTTTGATCAGACTGTACAGGGTTGCTACATGCATACTAGTGGCGCCATCATTTAATGTCACGACTTTATAGACAGACTGTACTAATCTGTTGTATGTAAGTAGTCTGCGGTTTTCGTATTCTGTCGCTGTTTGCTGTGTAATCTGTGCTCGCTCTGTTCTGCGACTGACAGACAGGCAGACAGCAATCCTCTCTTCTTCCTTATTTCTTTTGATTCGATTGTGTAAAGAATGGTAGATTGAATTAAGGCCTACTTAAACTTGATTTTCTAGTACTACTTATCAAAACAAACGTAATAAAATAATAGTGACAATAAAATCAAAGATTATTTCTGTTGTGTTTGATGAAGTGAAATGTGGTCGATGACAGCGTGAAAACGGTGCTACGTAAGTATAAATCGACCGAATTATACGACGAATATCGTGTGTATTAATTTATAACAACAGTATACCACTGTATTTTGCCGCATAATAGTGTTGGTGGCTGTCAATTCCTGACAGGTAAGTACATAAATGTATTGTAGTAAAAGCAAGCGAGCACATAAATCAGTCGTAGTTCCTTTTCCATATTACGTTGTGAAAACTGTTGATTTTTGTTGAAATTCCATAGGACAACTGTGTAATGTAAAGTGCTAGTGGAATTACATGGGTAAGAAGTGATTGCGTGGGAGATGGTAAAACAAAACACATGTTTTCGTTTGCCCTTGTTTGGTTGCAAAATCTCGATTTCTTTGTCAGCATGCATAGAACTTTTACTTTTTTTTTATTAGTGGTCACCAAGATTATTTCTCCCTATTTCGCAAGTTATTTTTTTCTGCAATGTGGGTAGAAAGTGCATGAAGGTAGAACATTATGAATGGCCTTTTTTATTTATGATGGAGCCTGTCTGTAAGTATGTAAATTTGGCACAGTTTCCACTTGAGTAGGTGTCAGTCTTGTCTATTATGAAAAATACAGGTAAACTCATGTTTGTTTGTAAATTAAACAGTTTAAATGTATTTCTATAAAAAAGTGGTCCTGTTTACTTGTTAAACCTGTTGTTAGTTACTGTCTTACTTCCTGATGTCATGATTGTGCAACGAAAAATGCAGAATCACCTTATTTATTGACTTCTTATCAGACTTGCATCATTATTACTGTATCAAAGTTCTTGAAGCATATGTCTTCTATTCTCAGAAGTGGTTTATGTTACTGAGTGAATCTTATTCCATCTTTGTCAGCTGTTTCTTTGTAACACTTTTAATTTATTTATTAGATCAGAGGAGAGATAGATCTATGAGAAAGTAATTAATTATAAATATTATGAAAGTATTTTTAGGTGGAAACAATATTAGAATGCACCAAAAAGGCTGTTTGCCAAAGTCATCATCAGGCTATTAAATGTCCCTACGGCTGGGGCACAGACTGTCCCCATGGATGGAATGGGTAGAGTGTGTTATGACTCACTAAGCTGGTCTACTGCAGACTGGTGTATGCTAACTATTGTAGATGAAGCTTGGGCCAGCAACTTACTGTACCTTCTTGAACTTTAAGTAATTAATTTTAGGTTAACTTAATAATGGCAATGGCATTAATGCAACCTAAGTGATTGGAAAATATAAGTTGCAAAAACATTGCTACAACATCATTGTTGCAATGTAATCATGTCGCATTGACATTATCATAATTTGGTTAATAAGGAATGTATGTATCCATTTAAATTTTTTTTTGTAAATATTGTATGAAATTCAGTATTATTACTTAAGCATTAATATTTTTTGGAGTTGTCATACCATAATTTGGTAAAAATTAAGTTACAATCATTAAAAAATTAAAACATAATAGCATTTTATATTTTGTATTATTGGTTGTAGAAATAATAATAATACTTTTACGAGGAATATTGTGAGTTAGATAAACAACATTTTAATCTTAAAATACATACCTTATTATCACTAATAAGTAAGACTTGTATTGAACACAAGTTAAGGAAAACATGTCATACAAATTTTGTGATAAGTAAGGCTGAAAGTTTAAAATGGTATTGTTATGTGATTGTTCTTGGCATTTTATGGTATGCTGCTTTAGATAATTATAATGTAATTAATAATAAATTATATCAATAACTTCACCTTAGTCACTTCATTAACTTGTCTATTTCTGTATACATTGGGCCAATGTATAAATCATCTTTGATCTGTTGTCTTGAGTTCAGGTGATTGTGGGGGTTATCATATCATTGCCTTTCCTACCACAACACGCATACTTTAGTTGCTTTTGGGTGTGATGCACATACATGGGAATGTTTTGTTAGTAAACAAAAATCTTAGGTTTGTACCCCAAAAAAGATAGAAAGTGTTTTTAGCCGTATTTTAGTTAATTTTGTATAACATTTGTTTTGTGTTTTGTGTTACGTCTAGCTTGATGTGTATTATATAAATAAATATAATAGATGTAACAAAAGTGTTTTTACAATCACCACTACTGTCTGAACTGTCTTATTACTACAGACAACAATATTACTTTTCACATATAATGTTTTTTTAAGATGTATGATTAGACTAGAGGCTGTCTGCGACTACGTCCTTGTTAACTTTTGAACACCCGTTTTACCTCTTTCTTTCAACTTTTACTGTAATAAAGCTTTGGATTCCTTTGTTATCATTAAAATTGACACATGGGATTAATCCAATTATATTTGATATTGGTAGAATCATCAACACACCAGTTACCATAAATAAAGTCTTTAATTTCTGAATTAATTTTAAAACCTAATTTAAGCTAAATAAAGCTAAAAACCAGATAGAAAAATGAGAATTTAGAGGATTTTGACAGTTTTAGTTCTCATTTTAGCCCTTATCCTAGTAGTCTTTCATCAACACTGTAAAAATTACCTTTTATAAATCATCTCTACCAGTTCTAGCTATTATAATCATATGAATACTTTTAGAACTGGATAGGTACCTTTTGGCTAAAATCTATTGCTCCAAGTCACTTTGTTCTCATTTATTATTCAAGCCCTAGTTTGTAACAATTAGTATGCTAAGTAACTTTTTTTCTGGTAGTAGATAATTAAAAAAGTATAGGACACATATTTTTTCTGTTATCACATAATTATAACGTAACACAAATATTATTGATTTGAAATTTCCCATGATGTCACATCTTGTTACAATTTTTACTTAGAAGTGACGTCACAAGCCCCCAAACTTCTAAACTTTGACTTGTTTATTTTTGTTTGGTTGATTGACAAAAGAACAAACATAAGTGTACAATATTTATTGATAATTTAAAGGCATTTTAAATAGAATTTAGTTTAATTCCAAAGAAAAATTTACTAAAAAAATCCAAGAGGATAAGGCAGCAGATGGGATTCAAACCGGCACCCTTTGCTATCTAGATATCAATATATTTTGTTCAAGAAAAAATTGTTTGGATTTCAACATCTAGCAGTTAAATGCTTAAAAATTTTCACATATAACTACAATTTTGTTAACACTGTCATATTCCCTATTATGTTAGTTTATTAAGAAGGCAAGGCTAGAGGTTTTCCTTTCTAATTGGAGAAGCTCTTATCATTAGGGAAGGAACGTCACGCCACCTTACAGAAATAACACTGTCTTGTTGGGACTGTGTGGGGTAGGGATTGGGTACAGGCCGGCAAGGTGACAATGTCTGAAGTGATACGTTTGTATGACACATAGGAACAGATGGCTTACTTGATATTAGTGATCAACGTCGCCCATTGACATCTGCAATACCAGGAGTATCAAGTATTACCAACTTGACAGAAAATTGCGTCACCTACAAATTTTTTTATATAGTCAGGTAGGCAAATCACTCTACCCCACCTGATGTTAAGTAATGATAAAGTCCAAATGCAAAGATAGTAGTTATAAACTGCCACACCAACCATTACCACCTTGCCGGCCTGCAAAAATGCTTCTTCACTCCTCTTAAAGGCCCCCAGATCATAGGAGGGAGGGAACAAGTGTGCGGGCAAAGAATTTCACTTACGAATAGTACGTGCCATAAATCTTTGCCATTTAAATGAATGACCTTATTACTTAATGGAACTTTTTTTCTTTTCTTTTTCAGATCAAACAGGAGCGCAGCACCGACTAGAAGAGCTAGAAATAATAACAATAAAATAATAACAAAATATTTTTTTAGCAACAAAAAAATAAATTATGTTACTTATTGTAAATATGTATTGAGTGTAAACATAATTTCTAACTACTGTGATCTCTTAACACGTGATTAGTGTAATATTGTTTTTTTTATACATGTATCGTGGTTGATTTTAGTGCAATTCCAAGGGTTGATTTTGTTTCAATTGTATTTATGATAGGGATTCGTTTGCCAGTATGAGTTCTGTCGGCAGTAACACGAGTGTTAAGCCACAAATGCCATTGCGGCAGAAGGATTTTGATCAGGTATGTGGAACTTTTCCTATAAGAAACCCAAGCACGAATTTTGACAACTCCGTAATGGTGTCGCATCGCCAGTTTCTATGAAAACTAAGCAGCGCCCCTATCGGACGTAAGCACAAACTACATTTTTCCATACAAAATTAAACGACGATTACGTAGCTGTCAAAATTCGTGGTTGGGTCTGTGATATATTTTTATTTTAATTTTATCTAAAGAAAATTTTGCTAGTAAAAATTACACACAGTTCAAGCATCAGACCGAATTCGAACCCGCACCTTCCGCAATCTGGGCGGATGCACTAACCATTCATATACCGAGACCTTAATGGCCGTGTCGAATTTTTCCTAGTATTCTGCTCTGATTCATATAAAAGTGCAACATAAAAACTTTTGAAAAACTAAAAACTGTCTTAGATACATAAAAAACAAAATCACTTAATCACAAGAAAAAAAAAAGATAACAAACATTACGATATAATTAAAAAGTTTTCCTATTGGCAAAAATGCAATGTTTATTTGAATGACCGATTATGTTTTGATTATTTTAATCAATAAATAAGTACTATCTCAGACTGTAATCTACGAAGTTTTATCTATTTAACAATTTAAAGAGACAAAGTTTGTTTTGTAATAGGATAAGTAATTAAGTATCTCTGATACTAATAAACCGATATTTATAATTTTTATTTTTTAAGCATGTAACTGCTCGATGCTCGATGTTAAATCTAAAGAAACTATTACTCGAACCTGGGTTACCTACAATCCGAAGAGATGGCGCTGCCTTGCAGCTTAAGAAAGGCTAGAAAGAATTCGACACGGCCATCAGGGCCGCGGTAGCATAATGGTCAGTGCATAAGCCCGGATAGCGAAGGGTTGACCAAGCGGGTTTGAGTCCCGTCTGCTGCCTATGGTGTCTAACAAGCATAAGCCTAATGGAAAGGGGCCACCATAACCATGGACGCTTGCGACACCAAAAATATCACTCGCCTCGTTGTCTACCCTGACCTCATCACCTACCCCGTGGAGCCCTGAAACCTTACTCACCGACAGAAGCACAACACCACCAAAAGGTGTTGTTAATTTCCTGTGGTCTTCAATGCTATTAAATATCCAAGATTCAACAGCAGTATGACAGTTCGAAATGCACGCTCGTAAAATTTTACGACATTGCTTTAAGCGGAAGGATATAGACCTTATTTCTCTGACTCCACGCGCAATTATGAATACGCTGTTAGCAATATAGCAGGTAAATATATAGGTATAGGTATAAATATTTTGTATTAAATCATTTTTTAGTAAGTATTAGAACAAAATTTGCTTCAAATGCGTTATACATATTAACAAATATTGATTAGATACCTGTCGAAAAAACGACACTTTACTTACTATAAGTATATCTTTCCCATTTCTTCACGGAGCTCTGCGGCGTATTGACTTTTCGACGGTCCGCGCGTGATTGTGAACCATGAAGTGCTTAGTGGGGTTCAAGCACTTTTTGATTGAGACATATTTTGAGCGCACGTGGTACATCTAGGGTATTTAATATCGCCTGTCGAAAAAACTACACTTACTATAAGTATATTATTCGCATTTCTTCACGGAGCTCTGCGGCATATTGACTTTTCGACGGTCCGCGCGTGATTATGAACCATGAAGTGCTTGAGTGGGGTTCAAGCACTTTTTGATTGGGACATATTTTGAGCGCACGTGGTGTATCTAGGGTATTTAATATCGATGGCCGCTATGCTCTACCTTTCTTATTTGAAACGCGATTCTGCGTCTCGATTAAAAACTTCTGCTAACAATAGTATTTGACGTCATAGATCAGTAACTGTTTACAGTAAAAGCGATAAGCATACGCATCGATATCGAATTAGAGATAGATAGACAGATAAAAAACCAAACAAATTAGTAATGACGTCTAAATCGATTAAAATAAGCGAGCGTTGAACCCGACACAAAGCGAAAAGCGGGTTGAATCAATATCCTATCTGCATTGATTGCTCAATTACACTTGGTCGTTATCCCGTATCCGGGTGCACGAAATACATTACTCGAGTTCGGGCACGCGAAGCAAAATTTTTACTCTGGATTACGGCTGGAAGACGGTGGCGACTAACGAAAACGAAAACTACCCGAATACTCGGTAAACAACTAATTGTTAATGAACAGACCCGAATGCACCCCTTCATTCATTTACAATTAGTCGTTTAGCCGAATTCCATTCCCACTCGTATTCGGGCTAGCGACCAAGTGTATTCGCGCCATAAGAAGTACATAGACATCTCTTGCTATTTTTAAGTCTGTTAAAATAAAAACTACTAAAAACCAGCCAAGTGCGAGTCGGACTCGCGCACGAAACCCCTTATTAATGAACGAAGACTACGCTTGGATTAGTTATGCCCTTAGGGAGAAAAAAACAGCCCTTGCTGAGTTTCTTCCCGTTTCTTCTCAGTACAAGGTCTCCCGCCGTAGATTTGCGAACCGATGGCGTAGCTTTTCGACATTCAAAAGTGCTTGTAACAGCCTAGACTGAATAAACGATATTGAATTTGAATACATGTTTTGCCTCTGTTTTTTTTAATGCCATTTATGCATTTGAGTGACATGAACAAAACACGGCGTAACTAGTCTAAGCTTATTCTCTGTTTATTAATAAGGGGAGAAGGGTTCCGCGCCATTATCTATACAACATAAGACTATTATAATATTGAGGATAAACAAATCGTATTAAAAAGTCCTATGTCTCTTTTCAGGTTATAAGTTCTCTGTGTGTAAAATTGCATCCAAATCCGTTCACAATGTTTTTGAGTGATTGAGTGACAAACAACCAAACACATAAACTTACAAACTATCACGTTTACAATATTTGTTTATAGGATTCTAGTGTTTTGTTTAATTAAAACCAATCGTAAAATTAATAACATTTGGCGTTGGTACCTTCCTAATAAAATAACAGTGTAGTGTAGGATGTAAATTGGGTTCAATCTCAAACTCATTTATTCAGTCTAGGCTGTTACAAGCTCTTGTGAAAGTCAAACGCTACGCCATCGGTTCGTAATTCTACGGCGGAAGACCTTGTACTGAGAAGAACCGGCAAGAAACTCAGCAAGGGCTATTTTTTTCTCCCAGTTTTGTTTCAAACAGTGTCGTCAATTGAAAGATGGCATCAAAAATTGAAAACATGTGTTGATGTCAACTTCCATCACATTAATATCGCACCTCCAGTGCGACACTGTCACTTATGCAAAAAAATCATTTTTCAGGAGAAGCGTTTAAAACTTTAACATCCCAAAACATACAATATTTAAAGGTTTTTTTTTTTTTTTAAGATGTATAGCTAAGCTGTATAAGCTTTTCATCACGTAAAAATCTTTAAATATTGTATGTTTTGGGATATTAAAGTTTTAAACGCTCATCCTGAAAAAAAATGTTTTTGCATAAGTAACAGTGTCGCACCGGAGGTGCGATATTATTAATTAACAAAAGTTAAGTATAGCTAGGTCGGTTTATTATAATAAAAATGTAAATATTCAGAAGAATTTCTACTTGGTTCTGCCTGTACCCAGACCCCCTTTTCCCAGTGGGCACTTTGGGCAAGTGATCAGGGCCCCGCGATCGATAGGGGCCCCTCTCAGATCAAATACAAAGTTCCTAGTTCCTGTTAAATCACCAAACGGGGGTCATAGGGGCCCCATTATCCTAATATGCCCAGGGCCCCCAATAGGTAAAAGATGCTTGTACCCCACAAGTGGAACGAAAGTAACTTACGATACTATTTATAATCACAAACGGGTCAATGCGAAGATTGTAATTATTATTTTTCATATACCAGCGTGCATTCCTCGTGTTGGCAAGCCGCCATAAACGCATTAAAAATAATACCGCCGAATTGACGGAAGTGAATTCGATCTAGATAGGTGATTTTAACTTTATCGATGTTTAATCTATACAATAAAATAAAATGGTAGGAAAGTCAAAACTGTACATTGAATATTTTTGTTAAAAGAATACTTGGGGTGTGATCTACAACCGATACCAAAGCCAAAAATATAGTTTTTAGAATTTTTGTCTGTTCGTCTGTTTGTCTGTAAGTAGGTCCGGGATAAACTCAAAAAGTACTGCATGGATTTACTTCAAATTTGGTACGAATATTATTACGAAGTCGGATCTACATTAGGCTACGTAAGATCACGCTATCACCTACTAGAAAAACAGACAAACTTTCGCATTTATGATATAAGTATGGATTATCATACATTTTCATGAAAATTAAACTATACTTTTCTTCGATTTTCAGATATGGGGCGATCTACAAGAAGGTATCGAGCAAGTATACAAGCGACAGTACATGGTGAAGAAGAGATACATACATTTGTATACGTATCCTTTTCTAATTTACAGAATTTACGTTTTCTAGAGCGAGACAACCGATAATGTTTCTTAAAAGGGCAGATTTCTCGAATACTGGATACAATTTATCTTTAATATAAAATAAAGAGTTGACTTGTGTTAATTGGTGTAATGTGACGGATGACATCTCTATTTGATTGAGTGTTAATGTATTGAATAGTTAAGGTTTAATTTTTATTTTAGCATGTAACTGCTTGATGTTTAAATTTAAATAAAATATAGCTAGGAAAAAGCAAGGCAGCGCCATCTCTTCGCATTGCAGGTAATTTTCCTAGTTATATATTCTTTAGATTTAAACATGAAGCAGTTACATGCATAAAAAATAATTTTTTGACTATAATTGCTATCTCTTCTTCCAAATGTTTAATACTTGTAAAAGTATTCATTTGACATTGTGGGTTACCTACGGCTGCGATCGTTAAAGCAAATTTCGCAGTGGTAGGTCTTTAGATGGGTGACCAAAAATTTATTATCTCGAGCTCCTCCGTGCTTCGGAAGGCTCGTTAAGCCGTTGGTATTGGCTGCTATATCCGTTAGCACTCACCAATGCGCACTGGACCCGCGTGGTGGGTCTTGGCTCAATCTCCCTATTCCATACACATAGAAGGCCTGTACCCCAGCAGTGGGGACATTAATAGGCCGATTGTGATGATGTTAGATTTTAAGTACCCCAAACTATAATGAACAATTTTCCTTGACCACACAACAGTCATGTATACAACTATTGTACGTCCGTGAACCACCAAGGTTCTAGCTCTTCAGCCAGCAGAAATAGCGCCAACAATGGAGGCAGGAACAGCTACGGGGGCAAGAAACAGGTATGAACCTTATTACTGAGTATATAGAGTTCTTTATTTTTTAAGCATGTAACTGCTCGATGTTTAAATCTAAAGAAAATATTACTAGAAAAATTCGACGTGGACCAGGCAGCAGACGGGACTCGAACCTGCACCCTGCGCTATCCGGGCGAATGCACTGACTAATTATGCTACCGAAGGAATTCGAATTCCTTCTAGCCTTTCTTAAGCTGCAAGGCAGCGCCATCTCTTCGTAACCTACAATGTCAATGTCTGATAGGGCCGCGGTAGCATAACTAAGTTTTTATTAAGAATTTACCAGAGAAGAGTATTTTTCTAATTGTGATAATCGGTAGTGAAAAATGTAGCGAAAATAGATACATCTGAGAAAACTATGAACATAAACTAAAGAAACAGTATACCAAGAAGTAACAGACTATCTTCATTTTATAAAAAAACGATAGTCGCAACTTGTTCAAAAATTAGGAAATTGTTAGCATTATTTTTACTTGTAAGTTGACATTACTTTAGAATAAATTTAAACTCATATTAATACTTATGAAGCGCACTTTCTATAGATATAATTTTATTATTGCAAGTTTGATACTTTTTGGGAAAATCGAATTTAAGTGCCATGGGTGACCTATAGTGTATTTGTTAGAGAAATATTTAGTGATTTTTAGCTTTGTTCGCAGTCTGGGCAAGCCCCAGGTGGGGCTCAACTCGTCGGCCTGGAATTGTACAAGAGGCTACGTGAGTTCCTTAGGATTTATCTCATCAACTTACTCCAGGTATGTTTGGCTGGCATCTATACATATAATGAAATGGTAGGAAAGTCGAAACTGTACATTGAATATTTTTTAAAAAGAATACTTGGGGTCTGATCAACAATCGATACTGGAGATAAAAATATGGTTTTTAGAATTTTTGTCTGTTTGTCTGTTGAATGTCCGGGATAAACTCAACAAGTACTGCATGGATTTACTTCAAATTCGGCACGAATATTATTAAGAAGTCGGATCAACATATAGGCTACATATTATCATGAAACTCCATCACTAAGAGGGTTGGAAGTTTGTATGAAAGTCCTATGTTTTTAAAGTAAGAGACTTGAAATTTAACATGTATGCTCTAGAGATGATGTAGAGGTGTACTAATAATGTATCTTTAGAAATAAACCCCCTTTTGGGGTTAAAAAGTATGTGCAAATAAAATACTCCACGCGTACGAAGTCGCTGGCGGCCGCTAGTATCGTAATAATAGGGTTTCGGAGTACGGGGTTGGGTTCGATATAGGCCAATCGCGCTTTTTATTATTTTCAACGATTCTTTCGATCTTTACAATCTTTCTCTTTATCATCATCAGCCTATTAATATCCCCACAGCTGGGGCATAGGTCTTTTCTATGGATGGAATAGGGGGAACGGGCCATTACCTACCACGCGGGCCCAGTGCGGATTGGTAGGCGCTAACAACTACAGATGCAGCCCGGACCAACAGCTTAACGTGCCTTCTGAAGCCCATAGAAGTTTAAGATAAAAAGTTTGTCACCCATCAAATGACAGGTTTATATTAACATACAGTTTAATTTAAGTATTGATACATGTATTTAACAACATTAGTCCAGAAGTGTATAATTAGAAATAATGCAACAGGTGTCCATTTTGTTATCTCTAGAACGGTGCCGATCTAATGGGCGAAGACGTATTGGCGTTCTATACGAAGCAATGGGAGGAATATCAGTTCTCGTCGCGAGTATTGAACGGGGTCTGCGCGTATCTCAACCGGCACTGGGTGAAGCGCGAGTGCGAGGAGGGCAGAAAGGTACGTGGGAAAGAGAGGGAAAATGGGTTGATTATTGGGGTTTTGAGTAACTACTTTTTGAAGTGAAACTGCGAATGCGTTGTGCGTTACGAAAAGTGTGTTCGAGCGAGGCGAACGGGAGTTGAGTGGGGGATTTAAGCAAGAGAAAGCAGTGCGCGTGCACATTTTCTTTCTCTCTTTCTCTTATAGCTAGTAAATGAAATATGTATGTGTACATGTATATATTGTACACACACACACATACATATATGTATATATATATATATATATATATATATATATATATATATATATATAGTTTTAATAATTAATTTATATAATTTTCTGCACAACTTTCTTTTTTTATTTATTACATTTTTTGTAAGCATTTTACTGCTTGATTTACAAACTTAAATACAATTTTCACATTTATTATATAATAGGAATAAGTGTTCATATCTAAAGCAAATTATAGGTTGCTACAGATCTTTTTCTAGTAAATTTTGCTTTTCTTCGAGATAATATAGCTTAAAAGTATAATTATATGTATAATAATCTATTTATTTGTTTATTATATTTCTATTTTAAACATTTGACTGCTGGATGCTGATGTTTTTAGTAAAAAAAAAATTATTATTATATGTTTATTTATTTACTAGCGACCGCCCGCGTTTGCTTTAGTTTTTTGAAATTCCCTCAGGAACCATCAACTTTTCGGGAAGAAGAAGTATTTCTGAATCCAGATCATAAACTATAAGCGTACCAAATTTCATCGAAATCCGTTCAGTAGGTTTCGCGTGATTGAGTAACAAGCATACAAACTTTCACATTTATAACATTAGTTGGATTTATTTTCTCTTGTACAGGGTATCTACGAGATCTACCAACTGGCTCTAGTTACATGGCGCGATAATTTATTCCAACGGCTAAATAAGCAAGTCACCAACGCTGTTCTAAAACTGATTGAAAGAGAACGCAACGGCGAGACCATTAACACCAGACTTGTTTCCGGGGTGAGTAATTTTATTTATTACTAGCTGTCCCAGCGAACTTCGTACCGCCATAAAAAAATAGGGGTTGGTGGTAGAAGGGTGAAAATTGAGGGTTATATGTATTTTTGTATGATGTATCATAAAAAATTAAAAAAAAACAATATCTAAAATTAAAAAAAAATAGGGGTGGATTACCCTTTACATTTAGGGGGATGAAAAATAGATGTTGTCCGATTCTCAGACCTACCCAATATGCACACAAAATTTCATGAGAATCGGGAAAGCCGTTTCGGAGGAGTTTAACCACTAACACCGCGACACGAGAATCTCTTATCTATTAGACAAGTCCGTCCGTCCGTCCGTGGTGCTGTTTCAGCAGCCAAACCGTAAGAGATAGATAAAGAGAATGTTTAAGTTATAAGTTGGGAATAGTCTGCTAAGACTACAAACCGGATTTGAGTAACGTAGCACTTCCGGTTTTCGAGAAATCACGAATTTCAAACGAAACCACACAAAATCTCCGAAGTTCTCAATTAATTAAATACTTTTTTTTTTAATCAGGTTTTGGTGAACATTTGGTTCACTGGTTTGCTAATTTTATATATTAGATTATAGCTTCTTGTCTATTATTTATTCTAGACATAACTTGCTTCTTGATTCTTTTGATTGTAAATACTTCTCAGCTTGGTAGATTTGGTCTTCATTGAAGACGAAATGAAGAGATGGTTGAAGGGTTGCTTTATAAAATACATACAACCAATTTTCAATTATGGGTTGTATGTATTTTATAAAGCAACCTTGGTTCGGAATTGTGTCCACTGTAACGTGGTAGTCTAATCGGTGTGAATGTAATAAATATTTATTTACTATTCATGTACATTTTTTATTTTAAACATTGAATCGGCTCGGTTTATAAATATTTTTTTTATTTATAATTTTCCAGGTGATCGACTGCTACGTAGCTTTAGGCTTGAACGAGGAAGACCCCAGTGCCCGGGGTCAAAACTTAGCCGTTTACAAGGAGACCTTCGAAGCCGTATTCCTCGAAGACACTGAGAGATTCTACATCAGAGAGAGCACAGATTTTTTGAGGAACAATCCTGTAACCGAGTACATGATTAAGGTAAGATTTATAATGTAAATAAAGCTGGTTTAGTAGAAAATAAATAGGGTAAAAAGTAAGCGGGCTTAGTAGTATCAATATGGTAAAAAGTAAGGCAATAGGGTAAAAGTCAAGGAAAATGGGTAAAAGTTAAATAATGCGGTAAAGGGTAAAGCAATAAGGGTCAAAGACAAGCAATTGGGGTAAAAATGCAAGAAGAAAAATGCAGCAATAGGCCGAAAAAGTAGATTATGTCTCTACAAGGAGACATTTTAAGCTGTATTCCCTGAAGATTCTGAAAGAATTTATTTCAGTGAGGGCACTGACCTTTTGAGGAACAATCTTCTTACGGATTACATGACCAAGATAAAATTTATTCGTAAACATCAAGAAAAAATAAAAACAAATGTACTTATGCCCATTTTTTTTAATGAAACATGAAACCTTCAGAAATAAATTTACTTATATGCTACCTTTGCGAGATTAATAGTAAGCAAATACCGGTAAAAGTAAAACAATAGTGTAATAAAAAGTAAGCATTAGGGTAAAAGTTAAAGCATCACAGGCGGACCTGTAATGTTTAGTGCACTCCCATGATATGGGTATCAAAATAAAGAATTTCTTTTAAAAAAAAAGACTGGTGTCGATCTTGGCATAATTCTGTTAACGTAACCTTTTTGACTACAGTATATCCGTCTTATTCTCTATACAAGGAATGAAAAGGAAAGACTGATGTTAAATTTAGTTATAAGTTTAGACAATCATGCCTGAATCGACACCAATATCTGGGTTCAATTATCTATATATCTATACACATATGAATATAATTGCAGTGTCTGTTTGTAATATTGAAATAACCGCTTTTTACTACATGCATATGAATATTATATACGGTACATACACAAAAATGGCCGTGGTGTGCCGGCATAGAATATTGCACCTCCCCATCTCTTCCCGTGGGTGTCGTAAAAGGCGATTAAGGGATCACCAGGAGAACGGCTAGCAGCGTTTTCCTGAGTAACATTACATCTACTGCGATCGCCAACCCGCCTGCCAAGCGTGGCGATTATGGCAATAACCCCCCAAATGAATCAACGTGCTATAGAGAGGGCTATGCTCGGTGTTTCCCTACGTGATAAGATCCGAAATACGGAGATCCGTAGAAGGATCGGTGTGTACGACATAGCCCGAAGAGTTAGCACGCTGAAGTGGCGTTGGGCAGGCCACATCGCTCGAGGATCTGACAACCGTTGGGAAAGAAAGGTCCTCGAGTGGCGACCACGTACCGGACAACGCAGCGTGGGGCGGCCCCCAACAAGGTGGACTGACGACATCGTCAAATGTGCTGGGAGCCGCTGGATGCGGATAGCGCAGGACCGCGCATTGTGGCGTTCCATGGGGGAGGCCTATGTCCAGCAGTGGACGGAGAAAGGCTGATGGATGATGGACATACACAAAAATATCATTTTTTACAATAGGGGTGATGACGGGGTACAGTAAACGAAATTCTAATTAGTCCGTCAGTTAGATGATAAAAAAATAATGGACACGTATTTTTTCTTTGGGCAATCAACCAAAAAATGACAATGTTATAGCGCATCAAAGTTTGGGAGTAGGGACTCGTGACGTCACTTTTGAGTGAATTTTCACTTATAAGTGTACTCAAACGTTACGTCATGCGACTTTTCAAATCAATATATCTCTGCAATGTTTATATTATGTGAAAAAAGAAAAAATACGTGTCCAATACTTTTTGATAATCTACCTGATAAACGAAGAAAAATAAATTAATCATCATCCCTATTTTTTTGTGTGTCTGTCTGTTTGTTCCGGCTAATCTTTGAAATGGCTGGACCGATTTTGACGGGACTTTTATTGGCAGGTAGCTGATAAAATAAGTAGTAACTTACATTACTTTTATTTTAGAAAAAAAAGTTGTCGCTGGCGGCCGCTAAGTTTTAAAAAAAAAAGCTATAATTTTATTTTTTAATGTGTGAGTTTATTTACATGTAAAAATCTTATTGTGTTTGTTATAGGCTGAACAACGGTTACAAGAAGAGCAGCGTCGCGTACAAGTTTATTTGCACGAAACTACTATGGAGAGACTCGCTAAGACCTGCGATCGAGTGCTCATTGAGAAACACTTAGAGATATTCCACGCTGAGTTCCAGGTAAATCTTACTAAATATAAAATATATATGAAAATCAATTGCTGTTCGTTAGTCTCGCTAAAACTCGAGATGTGCTGAAAGAATTTATCTTATCTGGTCTTAAAATGTTCGTGGAGGTCTAGGGAAGGTTTAAAAGGTAGGAGAAAATATGGAAAAATTGCGTTAGTAAAAACAACAATTTCCTTTTCCCATATAAACTGTTCTTTCTTCTTTCCTGTCAAACATTTGACGTTCGTCCCTTTTGGTACGGTAGACTCTGATAGACCGTCATTTCTTCCTAATTATTTTACGACCCGAACGAAGTACGCGGGGTCATCTAGTATATAATATATATGTTTAGTTTTTTTTTAGTTTCTCAGACCTACCTGAATATGCATATAAAATTTCACGAAAATCGGCCGAGCCGTTTCGGAGTAGTTCAATAGGGACGATGACTAATTTTTTTTCTTTGTTTATCAGGTAGATTATCAAAAAGTATTGGACACGTATTTTTTCTTTTTTCACATAATATAAACATTGCAGAGATATATTGATTTGAAAAGTCGCATGAGGTCACGTTTGAGTACACTTATAAGTGAAAATTCACTCAAAAGTGACGTCACAAGCCCCTACTCCCAAACTTTGACGCGCTGTATCTTTGTCATTTTTTGGTTGATTGCCCAAAGAAAAAATATGTGTCCATTATTTTTTGATCATCTAACTGACGGACTTAATAGAATTTCGTTTATACAGTAAACGATCATCACCCCTATTATGCACACCGTGAGAGGAGAATTTTATATGACGACCTCCGTGGGCGAATGGTTTGTACGCCTGGTTTCATGGTGTCGCCGACTCGAGAGGTCCCGGGTTCGAATCCGGTGGGGGCAGATGTTTGTATGATGAATACGAGCATTTGTACTCCAGTCATGGATGTTTAATATGTATTTCTGTATAAAATATGCTTATATATGTACGGTATATGTATTCTATCCGTTACCCTAGTATCGCATAACACGAGCCGTACAGTGCTTCCTTTGGGGCTAGGCTAATTGGTGTGAGTGTTAGAAATATTTATTTATTTTATTTATTTATATTTTACATTATTTTTTTGTACACAGAAACTATTGGACGGCGAGAAGAACGCCGACTTAGGCCGAATGTACAGCTTGGTAGCTCGTATTCCCGACGGTTTGTGCGAACTGAGACGTCTACTGGAACAACATATACACGCGCAAGGATTGCAGGCCATAGACAAGTGCGGCGAGAGTGCTCATACGGTGAGATACCATCATCAGCCTATTAATGTCCCCACTGCTATATATGGGCACAGGCCTTCCCTATGGATGGAATAGGGAGATTGGGCCATGATCCACCACGCGGGCCCAGTGCGGATTGGTGGGTGCTAACGACTGCAGATGCAGCCGGGACCAACGGCTTAACGTGCCTTCCGAAGCACGGAGGAGCTCGAGATAGTAATTTTTGGTCACCCATCCAATGACCGACCACTGCGAAAGTTGCTTAAGATCAACGATCGCAGCCGGACGCGCTAACCACTTGCGCCATCGAGCTCCCTTAAACGGTGAGATATCACAATAATATAATAAAGGCGAAAGTTTGTGAGTGTGTATGTTTGTCACTTCTTCACGTCAAAACGGTAGAAGCGATTTTAATAAAATTTGGTATGTAGTTAGCTGACACCCTGGATAACACATATGCTACGTTTACTGCGGGAAAATATCTCATTCCCATGGCAAAATCGATGAATTTATTTTCCCCGATAAACCCAGGGTAACACCGCGGGGCACAGCTAGTATAATATATACGACAAATATATAACAAAAAATATGTATGATGAGATGAATACAATTTGATTCTCATTGTAAGCTTATTTTCTTACAATCATTGCTTTCTTTCCATTTGCAGTTTTCACCATAGATGTAGAATTTCCTAGTTATTTTTACCAAAGTTTTTGTTAACGTCATGAAATTTTTTGTTATTTTAACGATTTTGAAAGTTAAGTTATCATAATCAAAATCATTTATTCAGTTTAGGCTGTTACAAGCACTGATGAATGTCTAAAAGCTACGCCATCGGTTCATTAATCTACGGCGGGAGACCTTGTACTGAGAAGAACCGGCAAGAAACTCAGCACGGGCTGTTTTTTTCTTCCTGTTTTATTATTTACAGAGTCGTCAAGTTGAAAAATGACTTCAGAGATGATTCATGAAGTCCCATTTCAAAAATTTCTTAATTCAAACTACGATTCAAATTTTATCTAAATAATGGTCTACTGTATCGATTGCAAAGGTCAAATTTCAAAGATCTTTACTCCGCGTTAATACAGTTTTCTTGTAATTAGAAGATCCGAAGTGCAATTAAGCATTCTCTACAAAAGAAAACCTGTTTGTTTTGAAATTTTTAAGCAAATTAAGGGTAAGTGAGTTGGGATCAGGAATCAGTTGGTTCGATCGTACATCCTTGTCGCTCGCATTCCCGACGATGAATATATGATCTATACTTATAATAAATCTGTAGAGAGGTCAATTCTATACATGAAATATATTTTCAAAATTACTATCAGGGGGTGATAAGTGATCGATACTGATGCCAAAAATGCAATCAGTAAAATTTTTGTCTGTCTGTCTGTATGTTCCTTATAGAAACAAAAACTACTCGACGGATTTTAACGAAACTTGATACAATTATTCTTCATACTCCTGGGCAGGTTATAGTATACTTTTCATCACGCTACAATCAATAGGAGCAGAGTAGTGAAGGGAAATGTTGGGAAAATGGGAGAAGTTACTCCATTTTTTAAGCTTCCGTCGCGTGTGCAGCCTTAATGGTTAAACTTACATAGAAATCATGTATGACGAAAATATTCTACATAAAATTGTCGAAAAAATATCCCGCAACAGCATATGTCTATCTTTTATGGTTGACTCACAATAACACGTGTAACTCCTGATAGCTTAGCAGTTCGGAGCATTCTGATTATATTTGTTTACTCTTATGTTTATAATACTCTCACTCATCCCTAATTTAAAAAAGTTAACATTATTACCTATTCAATAAAAAAAAGAATCATAGAAATCGGTATAGAAACACCAAACTTATACATGAAATAAGCCATCGCGCCGTCGCACGTGAATACTGAATCATGCTTTAAGGATTTATTTTTATGTAACGGTTGCCGCGCTCGACACGGGTCGCGGCGGCGGTAGGGTATAAAAAGACTGGTCCGAGAACAAGCTTCATTCAATATTTGGCTTTTGATGCGTTCAGAGCGTTAATATTGAGAAACCATGCTTATCAGCGCGAATTTTAGTCTTTAAATAGTTTATTTGAATTTCTTTTGATGTTATTTTGTAAAATAGGTATTAGTTGTTTTGGTTGAAAAAGGGTATTTGACAGTATTAAAAATAAAGTGCCAATTGTTAGCATCTGTGTTTAGAATGAATATTGGCAGGTGTTTTTATAAAAAAATATTTAGAAGTCTAAGGCTCGTATTATAGAAAGATTCTCAGTGATTGATCTAGTCTTGAGCATAGTTAGAAAGGGATGTCGCTATATATAGCACATAGCGACATCCCCTTCTTACTGTACTCAAGTAAAGATCAACACTTAGTTGTCATACTGTAATACGAGCCTAAGAGTTTTGTACTTAAAATAATATTTTCATAAACTTATTTCTTTTTTCTTTTTAAGGATCCGAAAGTGTACGTGTCAACAATACTGGAAGTTCACAAGAAGTACAACGCGCTAGTTCTTGTGGCATTCAACAATGATTCCGGTTTTGTGGCCGCCTTGGACAAAGCTTGTGGAAGATTTATAAATAGTAAGTTGTGTTATAATATATAAAGATCGGATAATCGGATGCATATTTACCTAATGCCGCAATTATAACTCTAAATCCCGTATTACAGAATGATAACTAAGTATTGATCTTTACTTGAGTACAGTTAGAAAGGGATATCGCTATGTGCTATATAAAGCGACATCCCTTTCTAACTTTGCTCAAGACTAGATCAATCACTGAGAATCTTTCTATAATACGGGCCTTAGTAAACTAAAGCTCCGATGAGCTTTGCGATAACAAGGAAGACGGCGCAATAGCAATTTTACATACAAAAAACGTCTGCTGCGTCAGTTTGTTTGTCTGTAGTTTTGCTCGAGAAGATTGCCGCTACAGTTAATCCTATACCTAGCGAAATTGTGAATAGCACTTTAGTACCTCCAAGGAAAACTCTCATTGATTTAACATAAAGATTATTCAAGATATATGTTGTTCTTATATTAATTTATTATTTTTCTTCAACAAAAGATTCGTTAACTAACCTTCAGTGTGTGATTAAATTATTTCTCTTAATACTCATTAAAATTTTATAATTAATTACCTTTTTATAATATCAGTAAAGATTAATAGGTATTTATGTTTTTATATTAACCTATTATATCATTTATCTCTTAGGCAACGCAGTGACCAAAGCCGCGAATTCCTCATCGAAAAGCCCCGAACTTCTCGCCAAATATTGCGATTTACTGCTGAAGAAGTCCAGCAAGAACCCAGAGGAGGCAGAATTGGAAGACACACTCAACCAAGTGGTGAGAATAAATTAATAAAATTAAATAATACCAACACTCGGACAAATTAGCCTAGCCCTAAAGTAAGCACTGTAGGTTTGTTTTATGGGATACTAGGGTAACGGATAGAATACATAATACTTATGGATATTTTATCTAGAAATATGTATTAGCGTCCATGACTTAGATACAAATGCTCGTATTCATCATACAAACATTTGTCCCCAACGGGATTCGAACCAGGGACTTCTGTGGCGACACCTTGAAACCCGGTGTTTATACCACTCTGCCAAGGAGGTCGACAAACAAAAAACATGACCTTCATGAATTCCTTGTAGAGCATGACAAGGACAGGTCAAGTTATCAAATACTAAACACAAATAGTCAAGTGAATCATCCATACATAATACAAATATGGAATAGATAATAAGCCTAGTCAAAATAGCATTCAAGGGTACATGAATTCATATTTGCCATAATTAATCGGAGTTTTTACCAAATACTCAGAATACTTTTTTAATAAGAAATAAACTCGGTACTCTGGGTTAAATCTGTGTCCAGTATGTTCGCGGTTTTGGTTCGAGAGCGTTTGTGACAATATGAATACTTTCTCGCTGCTACCGATTAACCGTACCCAAAAATAGTAACATAAATAATTATCTATAATAAATATCTCCACTACACCCAATGGTTGACTGGTAGAGAATCCCTACGGCCTTTAGTCCGTCTTTGTACTTTTGCGCATGAAGAATAAACAGATTTATTTAAGGTCAAAGTTTATTTGAGACGCTTTAAACGTCATTTGAATTAATCTGTATTTGTATTTATTTTTCCATAGATGGTTGTGTTCAAATATATCGAGGACAAGGACGTATTCCAGAAGTTCTACAGCAAGATGCTTGCCAAGAGACTGGTGCAACATATGTCTGCCAGCGATGACGCAGAGGTTAGAAAGAAAGAAAAATCATTTAGTGAATAAAGTAATAATTAATTATCATAAGCCTATCAATGTCCCCACTGCTGGGGCACAGGCTTTATCTATGGATGGCATAGGAAGATTGGGCCATGACTCACCAAGCGCGTCCAGTGCGGATTGGTGGGAGCTAACGACTGAACCAACGGCTTAACGTGCCTTCCAAAACACGGAGGAGTGAGAGATAGTAAATTTTTGGTCACCCATCCGATGACTGACCACTGCGAAAGTTGCTTAACTTCAACGATCGCAGCGGCTTATCACATGCGCCATCGAGCTCTTCGATACTTATAATAATCATATATTTACTTGACTAAAAGTATGGTTTTAAAAGATCTTTAAGTTCCATACTATTGTATTGTTTAAATGCTAAAGTGTGTCTGTCTGTCTGTCTCTTAAACTACTGAACGGATTTAGACAAAATGTAGTAGAGATAGTTAGAGTCCACGGAAAGGACATAGGGTAGATTTTATCCCAAAAATCATACTATTTGCCCCTTTAAATGTTGATTTCAGGTATAAATAAGAATTCCGGCATTTCGACTATATCTATACCAAATTTCATCTGAATCGGTTCAGCAGATTCAGTGTAAGAAGGTTACCAATAGTCGGACACAATTTCGCATTTATAATATTAGTACAGATGTAAGTTAAAGAAATCTTCTCTTGACTTATGGCCACTTGTATCTATAATTTTCATTAAAAAAAATGTATCTCATCCATTTTAAATAATCAGAAATTTTAATATTATTATGTCTTTTTTTAGGCCTCAATGATCTCAAAGTTAAAACAAGCGTGTGGCTTCGAATATACGAGCAAGTTGCAAAGAATGTTCCAGGTAAGTAATAAATTGTCTTGTTAGTTAACTATTAGAAATGGGCTGACTAGCCGCCTACTAGGTGGGAAAGACGACTATTCGGCATATTTTATAGTAGGCGATTATTCGGCAAAACATGCCAGTTATAATCGGCACATAACAATGAAATAAAACTCAAAACTTTTGCTTGTTTTGAATATTTAAACAGTACCTAGAGTATGTATTTAAAGTTATCTATTTACAGTGTTAAAATAAAAAAACAACTAAGGTTACTAAATAAGAATTAGGAACTTAAGAATCTGTCAGTAATTCAGATAACACAATGAATATCGCACATAACAAAATAGCAATGGGAAGTAAGTATGTATTAATGGAGTAAAATCTTAAGTGCTAGCGAGTCTTCAAGAAGTCTATAGATATATTTTTTTAGGTTAAATTAGTGTTGCCGAACTATCAATTTTAAAACTATCGACAGTTTACATCGAAAATCATGTACCCCTATCGATAGAATCGATACAACCGTTAGTATCGAAACTATCGATAGCTCAGAACAAGGCATTACTATCGAATGAGTGCAATACTATAGATATTGTCGATACTATTGTAGTTCGTTAATAACAAACTAATGATAGTATCGATACTATCGATATTGTTGATTTTATCTGCAACAACACTATCGATATCGATTGTTTTAGACAAAAGTTTGTGATTGACATTTGATAAATGAAAATTGTAAACAATACTATTGCAAATTGTTACACTATCGATAGTATGGTTGCAAATAAAATCGACAGTATCGATACGATCAATAGTTTGTTATTAACGAACTACAATGCTATCGATAGTATTTAACTCATCCGATAGTACTTTTTCTGTGCCATCGATACTATCGATAAGCCGATCGATTGTCATACTATTGGTTGGCTATCGATAGACTATCGATTAATTATCGGTAGTCGACTATCGATCGGCAACACTAGGTTAAATTCTATTGAGGAGTAAGGAAGGAGAATCGCGCAATTATGTTGCTGTCACGCTTGCACACAGTACTACACACGGTACGCGTGCGAGCGAGACAGCAACATAAGTGCTCGCGAGCGATAAGGATGGGTAGCGTGGAATTCTTTCTGCCCGGCGATCGTACTTTACTAGGCTCCATTCAATTCTGAACCGTCTTTATCCATAATTCTTTATTATTGAAGTGAAACTTCTTTATCGGCGTTGGAAAAAAATTTACCGTCACATTTTTATTCGGTTACGCGTCACGTTTTTTGGTTACGCGCCATCTTTTTTTTAAAAGAGCACTATTTACCTCATCCGAACAATTGCTTCTTCTGTCAACTTTAAAAAAAAAAGTATCGACAGCAAATATTCGTGTTTCACACAAGGTAAGGTAAGGTAAGGTAAGGTAAGGTAAGGTAAGGTAAGGTAAGGTAAGGTGTAGTTATACCCCTTTAGTGGGTGAGTTTTTGAAAAATCTTAGCGCACGCCTATATATATATTTCTGGAAAGTTGCATGTAGATCATTTTTCGAAAAAAATAAGGCCATAAAGAAGTTTCACTTCTTACGTATGTACAATAGTACACGCACACATTTTTTATTTTTATAAATTTGTTTAGGATATCGGCGTATCCAAAGACTTGAACGAGAACTTCCGCAAGCATATGGTAGATAGCGCTGAATCGCCGCTGCACATCGACTTCAGTATCCAAGTGTTATCCTCGGGATCCTGGCCTTTCCAGCAGTCCAGCTGCTTCCAGCTGCCCACTGAGGTATTCATGTATATATTTATTTAATGTGGACAGGATACCGGCTAATTTGGGCAGTATACAAATGTTATCCTTAGGGTCCAGGCCTTCCCACTGGCGTATTCATCTTTATATTTATAATAGATCGCCCTCGACTTCATCCGAACTACACCTTTCGATCTTTTTATTTTGTTGCGAGACAAAGGTATAGAAGATGGGCTTTCGTAGCGAGCATCAGCGCGTCAGATAGAATTTCTATGCAAATGTCAATGTCAGCGTCGGTCAAAGCGGCACTGACAATGTCATTTGCATAGAAATTCTATCTGATGCTCTGTCGCAGCGTCACTGACGTTCGCTTCGAAACCTTACCTTAATAGCGCTTACAAAGAGGTTCGACCGAAATAAAAAAAAAGAACTTTATGGGAGCGTGTGGTAAAATGTTTTCAACACATTTGCTCAAAAAATGCTTTAACGAAGTTTTTATACATTGTTCGAAAATTCATAATTACGGGACATACGGTAGAGCGTGCTTAGAAATAAAGGTTCACTGCTCGTTGCCCTAAGGTGATAGCGTGATAATATGTAGCCTATATGTTGACCCGACTTCTTAATAATATTTGTGCCAAATTTGAAGTAAATCCATGCAGTACTTTTTGAGTTTATCCCGGACATACATCCAGACAAACAGACGAAAATTCTAATAAAAACTATATTTTAGGTTTCGGTATCGATTGTAGATCACACCCCAAGTACTCTTTTAAAAAAATATTCAATGTACAGTTTTGACTTTCCTACCATTTATTATACATATGTATAGATATGTTGAAAATACTTTTTTTTTTCTTCCTAAATGGCTTCGCACGGCTTGTGCATTTAGCCAATATCAAGTTTTAAAATGATTACAAATTCTATAGCACTCGTTGTCAAAGTAGTAAATCAAGTCAAAGTAAGTGGCAGTCAAGTCAATCCCCCTTTCCCTATGTTTCAGTAAATGTGTGGTGATTTACTGGAACCTCCCCGTGGACTTTTGAGGGAATGTCGAAAGACACTTTCCGCTATTTTGTTTCACGTGCCAATACTTGTGCATGTTCCTGAACACTTAGTGGTTAATGATCCACCATTATTAGACACTAATATCCGCCACAACACAATTTTTAACAAGAAAAACAAAACTGCTAAAGTGACGCTTTCCGATCACGCCAAAAATTTTCTGAAAATACTTATTTATTTAAATATTTTGTTTTGTCCAATAGCTCGAGCGTTCAGTGCATCGGTTCACATCGTTCTACTCGGCCCAGCATTCGGGCCGTAAACTTAACTGGCTCTACAATATGAGCAAAGGGGAATTGGTCACCAATTGCTTCAAGAACAGGTACGAGTCATTTATGAAATCGTTAATTATTGTTTAAACCTATTGAGTGCCTGAGGGGTTCGATGGCGCAAGTGGTTCAGCTGCGATAGTTGATGTTAAGCAACTTTCGCAGTGATCGGTCATTGGATGGGTGACCAAAAATTTACTATCTCGAGCTCCTCCGTGCTTCGGAAGCCACGCTAAGCCGTTTCTAACTTATACAACTAAACTTTTATACAAATGCGAAACGCAAACAGACAAAACAAAATACTTTGACATATTAAACATTTGCAAATGAATTCGGCTCTGCATTCATTGGGAGAGAATTCTAACCAATCTCATGATCGGCGTGTTGATCGCAGTTTTTTCGCCCCACCCACTTGATCGCAGTTTATTATGTGGAACTACTTTTTAGTGCAGTTCGTTTTCCACATTATAATTATCTAGTTCTTCGATATTTTGTTTATATTCCTAAAATCGCCTATTCAAACGTTTCTTCCATTCAATAAATAATGACTAAATTCTACTATCCCATGAATAAATAAATAAATTATAGTAATATAAGTTATTTACGGGATTGTTACCATGTACCTTGTTTTTAGCGAGTTTCCGATATTTCGACACTGTTGCAAACACCATGATCACGGAGTAACTGAAGTAATTGCGGGTAGGCTGTTATTGGCAGACATATCGATCTATCGGTCGGTAAACATGGCAACATTGCAATAGTGCCGAAAAATCGAAAGCTCGCTAAAAACAAGGTACATGGTAACAATCCCGTAAATAACTTATATTACTATAATTTAAGTGACCATGCAAGCTTAAAACAATATATAAATAAATAAATATCAATATTTTATAACAGATATACCCTTCAAGCGAGCACTTTCCAAATGGCCGTATTGCTTCAATACAACGAGAACACGGCGTGGACCGTGAGACAACTAGAGCAACACACCGGCATCAAGGGGGACTTTTTGCTTCAGGTAAATCTTATGGATTTATATAAATTTATATACTAACTAGCAAACCAGTGAACCAAATGTTCACAAAAAAATAAAATTGAGAACTTCGGATATTTTGTGTGGTTTCGTTTGAAATAGAAATCACGTGATTTCTCGAAAACCGGAAGTGCTACGTTACTCACATCCGGTTTGTAGTCTTATCAGACTATTCTCAACTTATAACTTAAACATTCTCTTTATCTATCTCTTACGGTTTGGCCGCTGAAACAGCACCACGGACGGACGGACTTGTCTAATAGATAAGAGATACTAGCTGTCCCAGCGAACTTCGTACCGCCATAAAAAAATAGGGGTTAGTGGGAGAAGGGTGAAAATTTAGAGTTGTATGTATTTGTGTATGATGTATCATAATAAAACAAAAAAATCTAAAATTAAAAAAAATTAAGGGTGGATTATCCTTATTATTTAGGGGGATGAAAAATCGATGTTGTCCGATTCTCACACCTACCCAATATGCATACAAAATTTCATGAGAATCGGGAAAGCCGTTTCTGAGGAGTTTAACCACAAACACCGCGACACGAGAATTTTGTATATAAGATATAACAGTAACACTTTCTAAACGACCAGGTGTAACTGAGCTATTATTATGAAATTTAGTACATTTATGTTCCTAAATATCTCTTATCTATTAGACAAGTCCGTCCGTCCGTCCGTCTGTCTGTGGTGCTGTTTCAGCGGCCAAACCGTAAGAGATAGATAAAGAGAATGTTTAAGTTATAAGTTAAGAATAGTCTGATAAGACTACAAACCGGATTTGACTAACGTAGCACTTCCGGTTTTCGAGAAATCACTAATTTCAAACGAAACCACACAAAATCTCCGAAGTTCTCAATTAATTAAATACATTTTTTTTTAAATCAGGTTTTGGTGAACATTTGGTTCACTGGTTTGCTAGTACTAATATATAACAGTAACACTTTCCAATATTCCTTGCAAAGGTGGTAAAGCTGTATAGGTATTTGATTCTCAATACATTCATTTATTTATCTATTTATTGTTACAGGTTCTTCAGATACTGTTGAAAGCGAAATTGCTCGTATGCCAAGACGATGAATCAGAACTGACGGAATCCTCTGTGGTGGAGCTCTATGTAGGATATAAGAAGTGAGTTGAAAAAGTTCTACATTAACAGCTTAAGAAAGGCTAGAAAGAATTCGTCACGGCCGTCAGGGCCGCGGTAGCATAATTGGTCAGTGCATTCGTTCGGATAGTGAAAGGTGCGGGTTCGAGTCCCGTCTGCTGCCTGGCCCTGGTGGTTTTCTTGAAGAAGTTAGCCGCTACGCATAGCTTAATTGGGATGATGAATAAACTTTTTTTAACTTCGTTTATCAGGTAAATTATCAAAAATTATAGGACACGTATTTTTCCTTTATCCACATAATCGAAAGATTAAAGAGACACATTGTTTTGAAATGTCCCATGACGTCATCATCTTGGCACAATTTTACTTTGAAGTAACGTCACTAGCCCCCAGGCCCAAACTTTGACTCGCTTTATCATTGTAGTTTTTAAGTTGATCGACAACACAGAAAAAAATAAGTGTCTTTTATTGTAATTTACTTCTTAGACAAGCTGTCAAATTACAGTTTTATCAAACTCTATTCGGGAATCTGGACCAAATGAAAGTTTTTGTAGTAAAATATTCTTTACGTTTCTACTAAACCTTGCAGTTAAAAGCTTAAAAAATATACTTAATAATCTATTCCAGGAAGATAAGTACCAAAACTAATTGTTACACTTTGTTTTTAAACAGCAAAAAACTCCGAGTCAACATCAACATACCGCTGAAGACGGAACTGAAGGTGGAACAAGAAGCGACGCATAAACACATCGAGGAGGACCGCAAGATGCTTATACAGGTATATAATAATATATCGTATTTTATTATATACTAGCGGCCGCCCGCGACTTCGTCTGCGTTAACTGTTTAGTTAGTTTTTGTTTTGCTAAAAATAAAAGATTTTTTCTAAAATAAAAGTAGCCTTAGTTAGTCCTTATTACATCAGCTACCTGCCAATAAAAGTCCCGTCAAAATCGGTCCAGCCATTTCAGAGATTAGCCGGAACAGACAGACAGACAAAAATTGTAAAAAAATATATATGTTGGTGTATGTACCGTATATATATACACATAAGCATGTAGTAAAAAGCGGTTATTTCAATATTACAAACAGACACTCGCAATTTTATTTATATGTATAGATGTGATAGGATGATTTGATAAGTGAAATTTCTCGAGCTCATTTTTTTTACTTTTGCATTGGTAATAACAATATTAAAGAAAATGAGCGTTAGATATTTGAATACCTTCGACGGTCAGGAATAACAAAATAAAATCGTAAGCGATACCTATAGCAAATGTCCCCCAGGTCCCGGGTTCGAATCCCGGTGGGGCAGGGCAAATGTTTGTGTGATTAATACGAGCATTTGTATCTAAATCATGGATGTCTATATACCTTTGTAGATATACTTAATATATTATAATGATACCTATGTATCATTATAATCTTTATATATATAATTCTTCTGTGAGTGTCACTGAACTTCTCTTAAACGACTGGACCGATTTTGATGAAATTTTTTGTGTGTGTTCTAGGGGATCTGAGAATGGTTTAGATTCACAATTTTGTCCGCTGGACAACCCCTATTTTTTTAAGGCGGTACGAAGTTCGCTGGGTCAGCTAGTCTAATATATAAAATTCTCGTGTCGCGGTGTTTGTGGTTAAACTCCTCCGAAACGGCTCGACCGATTTTCGTGAAATTTTATATGCATATTCAGTAGGTCTGAGAATCGGATGTAATCTATTTTTCATCCCCCTAAATGTTAAGGGTAATCCACCCCTAATTTTTTTTTCAATTTTAGGTAATTTTTTTTTAATTTTTTTATAGTACAGCATTCATAAATACATACAACCCTAAATTTTCACCCTTCTACCACCAACCCCTATTTTTTTATGGCGGTACTAAGTTCGCTGGGTCAGCTAGTCTTAATATATATAAATCTCGTGTCACAATGTTTGTCCTCAATGGACTCCTAAACCACTTAACCGATTATAATAAAATTCGCACACCATGTGCAGTTCGATCCAACTTGAGAGATAGGATAGTTTAAATCTCAAATTATAGTCGCAATTTTAATTTATTGCAAATTATTACTTTTGGGCGGTACGAAGTTCGCCGAGTCAGCAAGTATATTATGTATTTCTATCTGTTACCCTAGTATCCCATACGCAATAACACAAGCCCTACCTGTGCTAAAAAATGTGGACGCCTCAAAACAACTTTGTAATAGTTAATTAATTATATTTTCATTTCATCACCATCATCAAATGTCCCCACTGCTGGGGCACAGGCCTTCCATTTGGATGGAATAGGGAGGTTGGGACATGACCCACCACGTGGCCCCATATTTTAATTTATTCATTAATTTTTATTATGGGCCTAGGCTAATATTAATTAATTTGCATTATTTTTTTTCTCGTTCTCTACCAGGCGGCCATAGTGAGGATAATGAAGACACGCAAGACCCTGAAGCATCAGCACCTGGTGGTGGAAGTGCTCAATCAGCTCTCCTCAAGATTCAAGCCACGCGTACCCGTTATAAAGGTAAAACGAATAAATCAAGTTTTAATACCAGCTCATGTTTAAATGATCATCAAAAAATAATGATCACGGACCACACATATTAAGTGAAACGACTTTTGTTATAATATAACCTTTTTTTTTTTGATGACGGGGTGTAAAATGTATGTTTGCCACGTTGGTTTGCTGTTAACAAACCCTCGCGACGCCGGTAATTGCGTGGTGCATTCGGCAAGCGGCGAGCCGCCCGAGGGCCGCTAGTCGGTGCGGGTTTTTTTTATTTTTTTTTATATGATTAGGTAGGCAAATGACTCTACCCCACCTGATGTTAAGTGGTGATAAAGTCCAAACGCGAAGATAGCTGGTACAGCAGTTATAAACTACTACACCAACCATCCTCACCTTGCCGGCCCGCAAAAATGCTTCTTCATGCCTCTCTTAAAGGACCCCAGATTATAGGAAGGAGGGAACACGTGCGCGGGCAAAGAATTTCACTTTCGAATAGTACGACAAAGAAATGAGTCGCCAAATTTCTTTGTTCGTGAAGGAATAGTGGCCACAGTAAGTCGGTGGCAACGTAAGCCAGCGCGCGTGGTCCTCTGAAGAAAAGGTGATGGAGGGATAAGCGAGAATAGCTCCTCAGAACACTCGCCGTGGTATAGTCGGTAGAATGGGGTATACTTTAACGTACACTCACGCAAGCGTGGCATACGTCAAACCACCCCGCCTCCGAACAGCAGCCCGGTCCGCATCCGCTTTAGCCGATCCTGGGCTTCTCCGTTCACAGCGTCGCCTGGCTAGTCTCACGGACCGCAGTCCGAGCGGCTAGCCAGCCGACCAGCTCCCGTACCTACCAGGTAAACCAACTCCCCGATCTACCCCTCACTCTCCAGGCGTAACTGCGGGGTCCAGTTATGAGTCGCCGCTTGTTACGCCTGGGATTCCTACCCCCTCGCGATGGTGCCGCGGAGCACCCCCTCCCTGGCAGTCGCAGAAGGTACCGCTAGAGGACCAGCAGCGGCAGACCAGTCCTCCCCCTCCTGCGTCGAAGAGAGTTCGCGTGGGCTTGTTCCTCGCGAGCTCTCTCCGCCGCCTCCTTCCGTGAGATGACCTCACAGAAGGAGACCACCACCTGGCAGGATCTGTCACTTCCCAGCATGGCCCGTACCACGCTGGGGAGCGAGAGATCCATCACCACTGCCGCTGTCAAAGTGCCGCGCTGCTGTGCCCACGACGGGGTTGCCTCCCTCCGGATCCGGTGCAGGAACTTATCGAAGCATCCACGCCCGGTAAGAACCTGCACCAGACGGAAGGTCAGTGACCCGAACTTGCGGGACGCCCAGTCCCTGAGGAGCGGGCGCAGAGCGTCTAGGGTTCGGAGTCCGGATGTGGGTGACTGCAGCATCAGCTGCCATCTCCCCATCAGGTCCTCCTCCGCCTCACGACGGATCTGCGCCAGCTCCCCAGGGGCCAGTCGTTCCCCACGTGCTATCGCGAGTGTCCGTGCCTCGTACGCCTCCGCGAGAACTCTAGCATCGAGTTCCCATGGAGGCATACCGGCCAGCGCGCAGGCAGCTGCCCAAGAGACAGTTCGGTACGCCCGAACCGCTCTGTTAGCCACCAATCTTTGCGGTTGTTATAATATAACCTAACATAAGGCAGTGCATAAATCATAGGGGAATGAAGCAGCGCACGCATCACTCTTAAATAGCGTATGATTTTTCTTTCATTTAAAATGCTATGGTATTTAGGAAAAAATAATCCTTATGATTAGCCCTTTCGATGGTTATCATAAAATACGACATTTTTTTTTTCAAATTTCACGAGTTTGATTCCCGGTTGTGGCAGGCGATTTTTTGAAAATCTGTGAATGCAGTTCTAGTGATTTTTAAAAATAAAATGATAATGTGAGGAGCTCGATGGCGCAGGTGGCTAGCGCGTTCGGCTGCGATCGTTGAAGTTAAGCAACTTTCGCAGTGGTCGGTCATTGGATGGGTGACCAAAAATTTACTATCTCGAGCTCCTCCGTGCTTCGGAAGGCACGTTAAGTCGTTGGTCCCGGCTGCATTTGCAGTCGTTAGCAACCACCAATCCGCACTGGGCCCGCGTGGTGGGTCATGGCCCAATCTCCCTATTCCATCCATAGGGAAGGCCTGTGCCCCAACAGTGGGGACATTAATAGGCTGATGATAATGATGATGAATGTGTTCTACTTAAATTAGGTTTGTTCAGTTTCCAATTCTTCGTTTTTGTTACAGAAATGCATCGACATACTGATCGAAAAAGAATACTTGGAGCGTACGGAAGGCGAGAAGGACACATACAGCTACTTGGCATGATCGCGCCGCTTAAACGATAAATGAATATACATATAGTAATACCACAATGTAACGATGAGTTTCATTTAATAAAAAACGAGCTAGCCTTACAGTAGTCGCGTATGATGTGTAACATTTGAAACCTCACCTTATTAATATTAGTAAAAAAAGAAAAAAAAAGCTACTACAAACGAAATAACCCATTTGAACATTATGTTCTAAAATCAAATCAAATAACGCGCTCTTCCCAAACATCCTGTTACACACTTCCGTCCCACTTCACGTAATCACTCCCAAAAATTGCACGAAAGCGAGAGGAAAGATATTACACATCTATAATACTATACCGATCTATACTAACTATATACTACACTCTATTCAACTTTTCCTGAGACAAAAGGTTTTCCAAAACCTTTTATCTAAAGTAAAGATGGCCGGTCGTATAAACAGACTGACTAGAAAATTTCACAATTAAACTTTATGTATTAGCTTCATAAGCTACTCTTCAATATAGTAGTATTATAATGCTTTCAAAGTTTGAGAATAGCTACAGTTTTGGGTCTTTTCTCCATCACTTTTATATAAGAGAAAGAAAATGTGCGCGCGCACGGCTTTCTCTTGCTTATATCCCCCACTGAACTCCCGTTCGCCTCGCCCGAACACACTTTTCGTAACGTGTAACGCATTCGCCAGCTTATTTCACTTCAAAAACCTTTTTATGTTTTGTTTACCTTTTGTCTCAAAGGAAGTTGAATAGAGTTATAATATAATATTATAAACTAGTATCCGCCCGCGACCTAGTTCGCGTTAACTTTTTCAAGAATCCCTCAGGAACGTAACATATTTCCGGGACAAAAAGTATCGTGTATTCCTTATGTGACAAACTAGCTAATGAACTATTTAAATATAGGACATTGATATTTCAGAAAAATCCGTAGTTTTGATTTTGTTTATTAAAACATTGGGTTGAAGCGAAATAATAATTTTAGACAGACGGCAAACTTTACTATTTATACAAAGTCAAAAGCACATTTCACTTATGAATAATAGTTAAAACTGAATAATTGACCTACTTAATACAAGTTTTGAAATGTAACATTTATTAATATAATTATTATTGTTGTTGTATGGAACAAGCTTAGATTAAAACAAAAAGGGAAGATACGGCACTCGCGGCTCAAAAGTGATCCGCTTAAATTGTGGTGCATGATCACAATTCGGTTTAGTCACAATAAATTGGACGCCCAAACACGCTGCATGTGCACTCAATATAACAATATTCCGTATAATATTGTGTTATAAAATAAAACAATACCTTCGATGCTTATATAAAGAACACAAAGAGTTCAAAATTAAATAACAAATGCCTCGGCAACACTCTTTTTCTTTTTCAAAAACAAATCTTCTCAAAAATCACGGTTTGTCGTGAATTTTATTTACGTAATCGCCATTTTGTTATCAAGAAAAGGACAACAATACAGCTCAGCCGTACGAACTCGAAAGCGATTCGCCGTTTCGCTCGCGCTGCGTTGAAGCGTACAGTTCTGTCTCGCTCGCTCGATTGAATGTTTATTTACAGACGTGTGCGTGTGTGTGAGTTGCTTAAGTAGTTATGTCGGATCATATTTTATTTGATGCTAGTATGAGCGTACCGTATCTTCCCTTTTTGTTTTCATCTAAGGGAACTAGTAACATTTCACGTCTTTTCTACAGTGCAACCAAGATCTCGGAGTGCGTGGTCAAAATTGGAAACAATTTTAGGCAGGTATAAATAAGCCTTTTATTTATAGAGGAAAGTTTTAATATGACTTTTATATTTCGTGTTAGTCTTTCAGAGTTATTGCAAATTATAACGGTCCCTTTAGTGAGGAGATTTTACATACCTTGTTATCCTCACAGAACACAGAAAGAGGTTAGAAGGGTAGACCATTTGTATGGGAACCGATTTCGCCGTCTCGCCCCCACTACACGTTTACCTAATAGATAATAGCCAATCAAACGACGCGACATCAAATAATCGAACCAATCAACGTTCACAACCGAGATCAACGACGCAATCAGAACCAAGTTTTGGTCAAGTTATGAGAGCTCACACATAACTGTGGCGCGCCTGTCCCGCCTACAAAGCCCTTCTAACCTCATTCTGTGTTCATCCCCATTCCGTCACTTATTTACAAGCAGAGCCCTCCTGTAAATGTCATTTAAGTTAAGTGCTACAAAATCATGATCGCACGGAACATTTGTCGGGGCAGTAAAATCTTATAGTTTGCTCTTGGCGTGTTTTGCCATTTTTCTTAGTTCCTTCCTGAGAATTTTGCCGCTTGGGTTCTTTGGTATGGCGCTGATGAAACGCACTCCGCCTCGTAAGTGTTTTGGGTTCGATACCTGGAAGAGGAATAAAGAGATTGCTATGAGAATTATTGGACACTAGCGTGCACTGCGACTTCGTCAGAGTTAACTGTAGATTTTTGGGAATCTCACAAGAACCTAAATTTTTTTCGGCATATAAAGTATTATATGTTTCAAGCCAGCAAACAATATGCATTCCAAATTTCATCGAAATTAGTTCAGAAGTTTTTGCGTAATTGTGTTACGAACATACACAAACACATAAAAACTTTAACTTTTAAAATATAAGTAGGATAGTAAAAATATTTAGGTAACAAAGTTCCTCTATATACTCTTTGAATGTAAGTCTGAACCAAAATGGCCTAATTTTTAATTATTATTAATAAAGCCAGTTACTCCGTGATCATGGCGCTTGCAACAGTGCCGAAATATCGGACTCTCGCTAAAAAAGGTAAGTACATGTTAACAATCCCATAAATTACTTATATTACTATAATGTTAGTGACCATGAAAGTTTAAAACAATATATTATTAATAATAAATAGTATAATTACCCTTTCTGCGACGAACTGCTGTAGTTCCTTCTCTGTCACTCTCTTGCCCGGTTGTGTGACTACGAATGCGAGCGGGACTTCCCCGGCAGCTACGTCGGGAATTCCCACCACACCCGCGTCTGCCACCGCCTCGTGTTTCAGTAATAGAGCTTCCAACTCCGCTGGAGCCACCTGGGAATAAAAATAAATAAATAAATGTTTAATTAACTGAGGAGCTCGATGGCGCAAGTGGTTAGCGCTTTTGGCTGCGATTGTTGAAGTTAAGCAACTTTCGCATTGGATGGGTGACTAAAAATTTACTATCTCGAGCTCCTCCGTTACGCCGTTGGTCTCGCCTGCATCTGCAGTCGTTAGCACCCACCAATCCGCAATGCACCCGCGTGGTTGGTCATGGCCCAATCTCCCCATAGGGAAGGCCAGTGCCCCAGCAGTGGGGAAATTAATAGGTTGATGATTAAATAAATGTTTCCATCACTCACACCAAAGTAAGCACTGAGGTGCTCGTGTTATGGGTAAAGGATAGAATACATACGGTATATATACGGTAATAATCCCGTTAATAGCGTAAATGTTAATGACCATGAGAGTTTAAAACAAAATGTTGCTCAAAAAGTTTATAAGTACCTGATATCCTTTATACTTGATCAACTCTTTGAGTCTATCGACGATAAAGAAATCCCTGTCTTCATCATAGTATCCGACGTCTCCTGTGTGAAAGAATCCCTCCGAGTCGAAAACTTCCTTGTTTTCTATTCCGACATAGCCCTTCATGATGGTCGGCCCCTTAATACAGATTTCCCCAGTCTGTTTGGGGCCTAAGGGCCTCCTTGTTTTGATATCTACAACCTTCAAAGGGAAATAATATCTATTAATCTATATATATCTTTATATATGTAATTCTTCTGTGAGTGTGTATGTCACTGAACTTCTCTTAAACGACTGGACCGATTTTGATGAAATTTTTTGTGTGTGTTCAAGGGGATCTGAGAATGGTTTAGATTCACAATTTTGTCCGCTGGACAACCCCTATTTTTTTAGGGCGGTAAGAAGTTCGCTGTGTCAGCTAGTATAATATAAAACTCAAAGGTGACTGACTGACATAGTGATCTATCAACGCCCAGCCCAAACCACTGGACGGATCGGGCTGAAGTTTGGCATGCAGGTAGGTGTTATGACGTAGGCATCCGCTAAGAAAGGATAAAATAAAGAATGAAAGTTTGTATGAAACTTTCTCAATTTTAAACCGATCGGGCTGAGACTTTGCATGCAGGTATAAGAAGAATCATATATGAATGTCATTGTGTATAATACAAGCCTGAGAACAAAAACTGTAGTCTACATTTCAGCTCTACACCGAAGCGAAGCGAGGGCGGGTCGCTAGTAAATTATAAGTACCTTATCATAAACATACTCGTAACAATATTACGACATAACATAACGTGGACACAAGAAGGATATGATAGGAATGGCGACGGTTTTGTTGTGAAAGCCTGGGTTTTCTTAGCATTGAACTCAACCAAGTTCTTGGTAGCCCATTTGAAAATGTGGTCCAAAGACTGATTGAGTTCAATGACAACAATCTCCCGTTTCTTCTTGGTTTGCGAGTGTACGAGATTTCTATTTACCTCGCATATAAAGATGACCGCTTGCTTTAAGCGTAAAAATACATAAAATATTAATTCCATTTTTTTTCACCTTAACAGTAAGGCCAGGTTGTAAGCTGCCGACGCTGCCCGCCTTCTGAGGTACATCAGGTTTGGCCCTCGACACCGCCAACGTACTCTCAGTTAAGCCGTATCCTTGAAGTACCATGCGCGCATTTGGGAACCTAATTAATAAAATAAAATTAGATCAAAACAAGTTAATTGGTTATGACAACAGAGAGATTACAGTGGTTATTGAATACCTAGATAGGCATACAAAATTATTATAACCAAAATGGAATTTTCCCTACGAGGGGCCACAGTGGAATTAAACGTTGGTTTCGTATACGTAAAGATTAAGCAGGACTTTTAACAAAATTGTAGCCAGAACAATAAAGTCGGACGCTACGAAACACCTCAATTTTCATAAATATTACTGTATCTCACCAATTTGAATAATTTTGATGAATGGCATATTTACAAGGCAATTTGTAAGACTATGTACAAAAATTTGAGCTCTGTTGAGTGACTGCAAATAAAGAAAATCCAATAAGTTGGTGGGGCCTCAGTTCTTACGTGTTCAAAATTTACTCTACTGCTACAAATTTGTAGTTAAAGATAAGTTTCTTTGGCAAGCTTTAGCAAAAGTAATCAAAATGATTACATATTTACTTATCCTCATTTATTCACCAGCAGCGCCTTCTGTCAATGTCATCTAAGTTCCCAAGATCTTAATCGTACTGTACGCGTATTTTGTCAGTGCCACGCTAATTCTACACTGTACAGTGTGGACTAGAAGGTTGGCACGATCTGTACGTATTGGTGACGAGTTCCGAGACCGAAGCACGACTTTTTGACAGCTCCGTAAAGTATCGTAATCGTCAAATTTTTTAATGAAAAAAAGCTAGTTTGTTCTTATGTCTGTTGCTCCTTAGTTTTAATAGAAATACTAAAAATTCGTGCTTGGGCCTTTGTAAGTGTTTATGACGAGATCGGTACGTATTAGTGGCGAGATCTGTACGTGTTATTGACGAGATCGCTGGTGTCCTTGTGCAGTGGCGCGGCACCCGAATACACGTATTGGACGGAGCTGAGGTCGTACTTCTTGGGAGCTTTGAATACAGCAACAAGGACCGGTGGTACCACAACAATTATCTGTACCTGTTGACCAAACAGAATAATTTATATTACTAAAAAAAAATCATTTAACTGATAGACGTCTGAATTTAAAGGAAAAACTACAAAAAAACCACGCAGACCATGCAGACAACGGGACTCGAACCAGCACCCTCCGCTACCAGGCGGACGCACTCATCAATTATACTACCGCTACCTTAATGACAATGTAGAATTTCTTCTAGTATTTCTTAGGGTGTAAGGCAGCGCCATCTCTTCTTATTGTAGGTAAGTGCATTCGCCCGGATAGCGAAGGGGTGCGGGTTTGAGTCCTGTCAGCAGACGGGACTGCGTGACCGCGTGGACATTTATGGACTTAATATTTTCTTTATATTAAAAAAAACATGTATTCAAAAGCCAGACTACGATAACTAAACGCGGATGTTGTTAGTATGTTAGTATTTTTCACAACAACTTTACTGTTTTCATTTTGATATCTATATCAAGGGAATGCACGAAAATTACTAGTCCGCCATTTTGGGCCGTGAATACAAACTTTTGGCCAACCGGGATGTGAAACCGAGACCTCTGAGTAGGCGACACCTTGACATCCGGCGTAGATACCACTCGCTCCAAGAGGTTGTCAAATGAGTGTTGTTTGTATGATGAATAGGTACGTTCGTCATGACTATTATTTGAAATATTAAAAAACATATTTTTTTAAAATAATAGTTACCATTATTAAAAAATCACACCCATTTGGGTGTTACAATCTTTCTTATGTCAGTCTACAAGAATGAATCAAATATTTTAATACAATATAAAAATTTAATATTTCGCTGATGGCAGTCTATAACAATAAAGCAAATATTTTAAATAAATCTGTATAATAAAACAGATACTAATTCTGTATAAGTAAATATGGCATCATTGTAACCCACCTTATATTTCTCAATAGCCTTCAAATACAGGTCGACTTCAAATTTGGGTAAGTACAAAACGGTTTTATTCTGTGCCAGCTCAAAAAATAACACCCATTTGAGTGTTACAATCTCTCTTATGGCAGTATATAAGAATGAAGCAAATATTTTATTATAATATAAATATTTCATATTTCGCTGATGGCAGTGTATAAGAATAAAGCAAATATTTTAAATAAATCTGTATAATAAAATAGATACTAATTCTGTATAAGTAAATATGGCAGCACTGTAACCCACCTTATATTTCTCAATAGCCTTCAAATACAGGTCGACTTCAAATTTGGGTAAGTACAAAACGGTTCTATTCTGTGCCAGCTCGATCAGCTTACCCACAAGACCCATGGCATGGAACCATGGTGTTATTGTTAAAGTGGTGGCCTCAGCCAGCGTTGATGCACTAAAAACGAAAAGATGATCTTTTAAAACAGCGTATTATAACCATCAGTCTAATAATGCAATACTGCCGGAGCACAGGTCAAACAGGAGGAGCGCGATGGCGCAAGTGCTCAGCGCGTTCGGCTGCGATCGCTGAAATTAAGCAACTTTTGCAGTGGTCGGTCATTAGTTGGGTAACCAAAAATGTTCTATCTCGAGTTCCTCCGTGCTTCGGAAGGCACGCTAAGCCGTTGGTCACGGCTGCATCTGCAGTCGTTAGCACCCGCCAATCCTCACTGGGCCCGCGTGGTGGGTCATGGCCCAATCTCCCTATTCCATCCATAGGGAAGGCCTGTACTCCAGCAGTGACATTAATAGGCTGATGATGATGATGATGACAGGTCAAATTAACACTGCAAGTTTGAAGAAAATTTTACTAGAAAAAATTACAACGTCCAGGCAGCAGACTGGACTCTCACCCGTTAAAATTGTACCAATTACCAAACTTTATCATTTATACTTTATGATATAATGCCATTCCTAGCGCAAAATAGGCACACGGTGTCGAGTTGCGGAAACAGCCCACGGACACCTACGCTATCCGGGCGGAAGCACCGTGACCTTATAATGGCCGTGTAGAATTTCTTCTAGTATATCTTAGCTTGTAAGGCAACGCCATCTCTTCGCATTGTAGGTAACCCACCCGTCTACTGCCTGGACCGCGTGGAATTTTTCCAGTAAATTTTTTTTTAGATAGAGTTGTGCAGTTTCAAAATGTGCTGCTGTGAAGTTAGTCCAATAAACGAAATGCAGGTACAATGTGACAGAACTGAAATCTGCGCATTCAAGTTTGCTTGGCCCTATCTATAAAGCAACACGGCCGTCGCGTCCAGGAGGGAAGTAGGCATACATAAATAAATAAATATTTCCAACACTCACACCAATTAGCCTAGCCCCAAAGTAAGCACTGTAAGGCTTGTGTTATGGGATGCCAGGGTAACGGATAAGAATACATAATACTGTACATATATAAGTATATTTATATAGAAATACATATTAAACATCCATGACTGGAGTACAAATGCTCGTATTCATCACATAAACATTTGCCCCCACCGGTTTTCGAACCCGGGACCTCTCGAGTCATTCATGCCGCATTGCAATCACCTCCCTCAGGTTTGAGTGGTCTAGAGGCTCCAAAGGGAGAGGCGACTGCCCCCGTGGGGAGATGCCAGCAGCTTGGAATACCTCTAGAGGCACTCGCAAATTTTCGGCTTGAGGTCCCCTTAGGATCTCGCCGTCCCTAAACCCGGTGACGCTGTAAAGGTCATCTGCGAGCAACAGCATACACACTCAAAAAAAATCGCAAACACTTGTTTCCTCTACAAAAGTTACGTACGCTAAGCAACCACTAGCGACAATGCAACCACATCCACATTATGAAGGTACCACAATGCGCGAGAAGTCGCCACTCGGCCACCGAGGTTGTCGTCTTTCCCCTCTGATGTGATACAAACGTGTGCCGGATTTGGCGATGTATTGAGCGAATATCGTGGTTATAGTTTTGTTTTACATGCGTGTACCTTAAACTGCGTTTCTGTGTATATGCCACATAAAATGACAGAATGATTTGAACAGTATTATGTTAAAAAAATGTAAGAAAAAAATCCACGCGGACCAGGCAAGAAAGTTTAGAAAAAATTCGACACGGCCATCAGGGCCGCGACAGCATAATGGTCAGTGCATTCGCCCGGATAGCGAAGCATGCGGGTTCAAGTCCCGTCTGCTACCTGGAGCGCAAGGAATTTTTTCTAACAATATTTTCTTTATATATTAAATCATCTAGCAGTGCTAAAAAAATGCTTTAAAGCTTGTATTAAATCAAAAAAACTCACAAACTGCACATTATGATGAGATTGAGATGAGTCAGCATCACACCTTTGGGTAGACCAGTAGTCCCTGATGAATACAGTATGAAGGCAGTATCTATTTGCCCTTTCACATCGACTGGTTCGAATTCCTCGTAACGAACATTCCTCGTGATTCTATCATTAACGATAACTCGTTCTTCGTTATCGTTATCGTTATTAACTGGTATCGTTATATCGGTAAACGATAAAGTGCCCGTTTTTTTCTCGTTGCCGACTAAGATGATCCTCTTAATATGGCCGAGGCTTTTGAATGTTCTGCTATGTTCTTTGTACACGTTCGGTGAGCAAACTAAGAATGACGGTTTCGTTATTTTCATAACGTGACGGATTTCATCTGTAAATTAATTTATGATTATTTTATAATTAATATTAATAATTAATAATTAATTTATAATTATTCATCACATAAACATTTGCCCCCACCGGTTTTCGAACCCGGGACCTCTCGAGTCATTCATGCCGCATTGCAATCAAATTTTATTTAAAACAAGTTTCAACTGTATATAACGTACATCTGCACGTTTCGCATCCTTTACAGGATGAAAACCTGTAAAGGAATTTAGTCAACCTGGGTTAGCATCTACTTTTACCCCTATAGATGGAATTGTTCAAGAGTGAATAACATCTGTAGCTGTAACTATAATTCGAATTTGATTATTTATAGGTAAAATGACTCGATTATCTACATCTAATAAACGAAAATTATCATTTTTTAAATCTTTTGATGGAATTATATATCAATCGAATGCAACATTATTAAAATCAGAATATTCATAACTTGAATCATTATTTAGACGAGGCATCCTCGTCTGAATAATGATTTTATTTACTTTCTCAAGCTACATTCGAAAGACTTTTATTGAGCCTTCGGATATTTTATTGGAAGAATTTTAAAACTTTATTATCTATATATGAATTTATATGGACTGAAGGCACATAATATTGGGCCGGACCACTTACGATTTGGAAGGTACGTTGAGCCGTTGGACCGGCTGCATCTTCTCGTTAGCACCCACTTATTCGCACTGGGCGCGCGTGGTGGGTTACGGCCCAATCTCCCTATTCCATCCCTAGGATGTAGGTAGGCCGGTGCCCCAGCAGTGGGGACATTAATAAGCTGATGATGATATTACTCAAAGATTATTTCCTTTACCTTCCACATAGGCTGGGTTCATGGTTGTAATGATTCCACCAGCGCAAATCACCCCCAGCACGACCTTGAAATATTCCGATCTGTTCTCTGAACATATGGCCACAGTCTGTCCTTTTCTAAGCCCCAGGTGGACCAGTGAGACAGCGAAATTCATTCCTTCTTGGCATATCTCTCCGTATGTGGTCCTCTCCTCTGTGGTTGCGTTTATCTGTTATATTAATAACACCATTATTAATCAAGAAAAAAGAGTAACGAGACGATTTTCCGTCGGGTCTAGGCGTTTACACCGTGTTTTTTTTTATATCTAGGTAAGCAAATGACTCAACCCCACCTGATGTTAAGTGGTGATATAGTCCAAACGCGAAGAAGTACAGCAGTTATAAACTGCTACACCAACCATCCTCACCTTGCCGGCCTGCAAAAATGCTTCTTCACGCCTCTCTTAAAGGACCCCAGATTGTAGGACTTGTCTAAGTCCGGTTGCCATAAAGGGTATGGGTACTATGGAGGTTTGTAAACGACACGGCGTTAACGATGGTTTGGGGTCGGTACAAACGTAAAACCGTGCTCGTGAACAGGCTTAGCCGGCACCGGCCCGGGTAGAAACCGGGTAGAATTTGTCTCATTAACAAGTGCTGATGATTGTAATCCCATACTAGAGATTGTAGCAAAGAATGGCACACCAAAACTAATTATTTGTTGAATTTAAGGTAAAACTCTACTTAAATACAATTTTCATCTATGTAGTGGTTACATAATAATTTTGTGTAGTGTAATTAGTAATTTTGTCTAAAAATAATCCTTAAGGGGGGAAATAATGTGTTTAGAAACATGTGTCTCTTAATGATTTATGTTAATCACTGAAACCTTTGTTGCCTAGCTAGCTAAATAACTGCTTAGCTAGTTGCGTAGCTAGCTGTGTAGCTGGTTGCCTAGCTAGCTGCCTAGCTAGCTGCTTAGCTAGTTGCCTAGGTAGTTGCTTAGCTAGTTGCTTAGCTAGTTGCCTAGCTAGTTGCCTAGCTAGCTGCTTAGCTAGTTGCCTAGCTAGCTGCTTAGCTAGTTGCCTAGCTAGCTGCTTAGCTAGTTGCCTAGCTAGCTGCTTAGCTAGTTGCCTAGCTAGTTGCCTAGGTAGCTGCTTAGCTAGTTGCCTAGCTAGCTGCTTAGCTAGCTCTGTAGCTAGTTGCCTGGCTAGCTGTGTAGCTAGTTGCCTGGCTAGCTGTGTAGCTAGTTGCCTAGCTAGCTGCTTAGCTTGTTGCCTAGCTAGCTGCCTGGCTAGCTGTGTAGCTAGTTGCCTAGCTAGCTATGTAGCTAGTTGCCTAGCTAGCTCTGTAGCTAGTTGCCTGCCTTTCTAGTTGCCTACTACTTTTACATTCGTATAACCGTATTCGTATAACGTAGGTATACATAAAAGTTTCTCTGTAGCTAGTTGCCTAGCTAGCTGTGTAGCTAGTTGCCTAGCTAGCTATGTAGCTAACTGCCTGGCTTGTTGCCTAGCTAGCTAAATAACTGCTTAGCTAGTTGCGTAGCTAGCTGTGTAGCTAGTTGCCTGGCTAGCTGTGTAGCTAGTTGCCTAGCTAGCTGTGTAGCTGGTTGCCTAGCTAGTTGCCTAGCTAGCTGCTTAGCTAGTTGCCTAGCTAGCTGCTTAGCTAGTTGCCTAGCTAGCTGCTTAGCTAGTTGCCTAGCTAGTTGCCTAGGTAGCTGCTTAGCTAGTTGCCTAGCTAGCTGCTTAGCTAGCTCTGTAGCTAGTTGCCTTGCTAGCTGTGTAGCTAGTTGCCTAGCTAGCTATGTAGCTAACTGCCTGGCTTGTTGCCTAGCTAGCTAAATAACTGCTTAGCTAGTTGCGTAGCTAGCTGTGTAGCTAGTTGCCTGGCTAGCTGTGTAGCTAGTTGCCTAGCTAGCTGTGTAGCTGGTTGCCTAGCTAGCTGCCTAGCTAGCTGCTTAGCTAGTTGCCTAGGTAGTTGCTTAGCTAGTTGCCTAGCTAGCTGTGTAGCTAGTTGCCTGGCTAGCTGTGTAGTTAGTTGCCTAGCTAGTTTTGCCTATTACGTAACGCAATTTTGCTAGTTGCCTGCCTTACTAGTTGCCTACTTGTTACCTACTGTTATACGAATGTAAAAGTTTCTCTGTAGCTAGTTGCCTAGCTAGCTGCTTAGCTAGTTGCCTAGCTAGCTGCTTAGCTAGTTGCCTAGCTAGCTGCCTGGCTAGCTGTGTAGCTAGTTGCCTAGCTAGTTGCCTAGCTAGCTGCTTAGCTAGTTGCCTAGCTAGCTGCTTAGCTAGTTGCCTAGCTAGCTGCCTGGCTAGCTGTGTAGCTAGTTGCCTAGCTAGCTGTGTAGCTAGTTGCCTAGCTAGCTATGTAGCTAACTGCCTGGCTTGTTGCCTAGCTAGCTAAATAACTGCTTAGATAGTTGCGTAGCTAGCTGTGTAGCTAGTTGCCTGGCTAGCTGTGTAGCTAGTTGCCTAGCTAGCTGTGTAGCTGGTTGCCTAGCTAGCTGCTTAGCTAGTTGCCTAGGTAGTTGCTTAGCTAGTTGCCTAGCTGGCTGTGTAGCTAGTTGCCTAGCTAGCTATGTAGCTAACTGCCTGGCTTGTTGCCTAGCTAGCTAATTAACTGCTTAGCTAGTTGCGTAGCTAGCTGTGTAGCTAGTTGCCTGGCTAGCTGTGTAGCTAGTTGCCTAGCTAGCTGTGTAGCTGGTTGCCTAGCTAGCTGCTTAGCTAGTTGCCTAGCTAGCTCTAGGCAGGCGCCTTTCTAGTTGCCTACTTGTTACGATTCGACGATTGTAAAAGTTTCTCTGTATTAACCTAGTTAATTGCCTAGCTAGTTGCCTAGCGCGCTGTGTAGCTAGCTGCCTGGCTTGTTGCCTAGCTAGCTAAATAACTGCTTAACTTGTTGCGTAGCTACCTGTGTAGCTAGTTGCCTGGCTAGCTGTGTAGCTAGTTGCCTAGCTAGCTGTGTAGCTGGTTGCCTAGCTAGCTGCTTAGCTAGTTGCCTAGGTAGTTGCTTAGCTAGTTGCCTAGCTAGCTGTGTAGCAAGTTGCCTAGCTAGCTGTGTAGCTGGTTGCCTAGGTAGTTGCTTAGCTAGTTGCCTAGCTAGCTATGTAGCTAGTTGCCTAGCTAGCTCTAGGCAGGCGCCTTTCTAGTTGCCTACTTGTTACGATTCGACGATTGTAAAAGTTTCTCTGTAGCTAGTTGCCTGGCTAGCTGTGTAGCTAGTTGCCTAGCTAGCTATGTAGCTAGCTGCTTAGCTAGTTACCTAGCTAGTTGCCGAGCTAGCTGCTTAGCTAGTTGCCCAGCTAACTAGCTAGCCACCTAGTTAATTGCCTAGCTAGTTGCCTAGCGCGCTAAATAACTGCTTAGCTTGTTGCGTAGCTACCTGTGTAGCTAGTTGCCTGGCTAGCTGTATAGCTAGTTGCCTAGCTAGCTGTGTAGCTAGTTGCCTGGCTAGCTGTATAGCTAGTTGCCTAGCTAGCTGTGTAGCTAGTTGCCTGGCTAGCTGTGTAGCTGGCTGCTTAGCTAGTTGCCTGGCAAGTTTGTAAAAGTAGCTATAAAAAAGAATTCCCAGGCGTCGAAATTCTTCTAGCCATTCTTAAGCAGCGCCATCTCTTCGCATTTTTTTTTTCTGGTTTAAAACATGTTTTAAAATAATAAAAAAAATATAACTATAATTGCTATTTCTTCTTTCAAATGTTTAATACTTGTAGAAGTATTCATTTGACATTGTGGGTTACCTATAACGCGAAGAGATGGCGCTGCCTTGCAGCTTAAGAATGGCTAGAAGAATTTCGACGCGGTTCGTTAGGGCCGCGGTAGCATAATTGGTCAGTGCATTCGCCCGGATTGCGAAGGGTGCGGGTTCGAGTCCCGTCTGCTGCCTGGTCCGCGTGGATTTTTTTCTGGTTATATTTTCTTTAAAAGTTATGTTGTTTGCTATAAAAATTATCCAATATAAATTATATTCCATTCCACTTTACACATATATTCACTTTTTACTTTTTTTCATAAGTATAAAATTCAGAATGAACATTTTGCAAAAAATTTAATAATGTAAGTTTTAGTTAGTAATTTTTGTGAAAAATCAATTACGTGCGATCTCTAGACATTGATATCTAAGATTAAATGGAAAAGGTAAATATTTTAACTTCACTTTTACGAGTAAAAGGTGTTGTGTTCATGAGGTAATTGAGAGACTGTACTTTGAGATAATATGTGGTTCTACTCGCCTACATACTAACATGCCGTACCTTTTATCACATGTGTAATCTGTTATTATAAATAGTTAAGTTAAAATAATGCGAGGAATTATAGTATCTGGCTGTATGTTTCTCTTATCTCATATCACATCTAATAAAGGAAATATGCCTACAATAATATAAGAGTCGCTAGGCGCACCTATTGCGCGCTTCAGACATTTTTATGATTGTTTTTTCTGTATTTATGCAGAAAAGAATTACATATTATAAAAAGTCTATACAACGAAAAATCGCAAACCCCTTCTACTTCCACACTATATTTGGAGTCGGTACCTGTCTGATAGATCTGAATTGGCATTATTTTTTATAATAAGGTCCGACAAATTACTCCACTCCAGCTAGCTGCTTAGCTAGTTGCCTAGCTTGTTGCCTAGCTAGCTGCTTAGCTAGTTGCCTAGCTAGCTGCTTAGCTAGTTGCCTAGCTAGCTGCTTAGCTAGTTGCCTAGCTAGCTGCTTAGCTAGTTGCCTAGCTAGCTGCTTAGCTAGTTGCCTAGCTAGCTGCTTAGCTAGTTGCCTAGCTAGCTGCTTAGCTAGTTGCCTAGCTAGCTGCTTAGCTAGTTGCCTAGCTAGCTGCTTAGCTAGTTGCCTAGCTAGCTGCTTAGCTAGTTGCCTAGCTAGCTGCTTAGCTTGTTGCCTAGCTAGCTGCTTAGCTAGTTGCCTAGCTAGCTGTCAAGCTACTTGCCTAGCTTGTTGCCTAGCTAGCTGCTTAGCTAGTTGCCTAGCTAGCTGCTTAGCTAGTTGCCCAGCTAGCTGTTTAGCTAGTTGCCTAGCTAGCTGTTTAGCTAGTTACCTAGTTTTGCCTAGCTCAAGTATTAGGGGGTGTTCTAGCTTGTTGTGTAGATAGCTGCCTAGGTAGCTGCTTAGCTAGTTGCCTAGTTAGCTGTGTTGCCTAGCTAGCTGCTTAGCTAGTTGCCTAGCTAACTGCTTAGCTAGTTGCCTAGCTAGCTGCTTCTACTTCCACACTATATTTGGAGTCGGTACCTGTCTGATAGATCTGAATTGGCATTTTTTTTATATTAGGTCCGACAAATTACTCCACCCCAACTGATGTTAAGTGACGGTGAAGTTAATATTATAAAAAGAAGAGGAGATTTGATTTACCACTTAGGCTGGCATGCATGGCACCGTCATCAAATATTAATTGGATTTTAAAATACTTTAAACTTAAATGAGGAAAAATGCATTATTTCTTAAATTTTAGCAGTGTTGTTAATATGAATCGTTTTTAATTTTTGATAAAAAGTTTTTGCTGGGTTCGAAACACCATCTTTTTTTTTATAGATAGGTTCGACAAATGTCTTCACCCCACTTGATCTTTCGCCGTCCGGGCATATATAAGTTCGCAGGCAGTCTTATGGCTGGATCAAGTGGAATTTTCTAGAATTATATTTATATTTAAATAAAACCTCTTTTAACGAGTTTTAACGAGAGAGCGCGTTTAATATTACATTATTCACACAGAACCTGTGAACGACAACGTCAAAAATAATGATAACTGTGTAAGAAAACTCCTTCAGAAACCAGCAACATATTTATTCAACTCAGACCAGACGAAACATCCGAACACTTCGACGGCTATCAGCAGAATGCTCAAACTAGTCTATGAAATGCTCCTTGTCAACTCTCACTGCCCCGCTATGATTCAGTCGGTCATACTTCTCTTGCTCTATTTGACACTTCCGGTTTTAATTAATTTTAATACAGCGATCGTTATAAACTAAAGAGTTTAGAGACTTAGTAGAAGTTTAGACTTTTGGTCTTGAGCTTAGAGTTTAGTTGACTTAACTTGAGCTTGTATTTATGCATGATTTTTTTCTAGTCTTTACTAGAAAAAAAACCACGCAGACGAGGCAGCAGACGGGACTCGAACCCTAGCAGTTAAATGTTTAAAAAATAAAAATAAAACTACTTTTAAACTCATAAAAATTATGATTTGATTAATAATATGGACAACATGAAATTGAACCTAATAATTGTATTAAACGCGCTATAAAATTCGTTAAAAATAATTTAAACATGAGAAATAAATATGCTGAGATCAACAAATCTAGCAGTTCAATTCTTAAAAAAAAAGGAATCTTTCGTGCACGCTTGTAATATACAAGTCATGATGAGATTACATTATCGGTCTCTGACTGTATACTTATATCTGTAATACATTTATAAAATTATTGTGTCACAGTGTTTGTAACAAAGCTCCGCCGAAACGGTTTGACCGATTCCTAGGAAATATATTGTGTGTAGTTCATTCGTGCAAAACCGGGGTGGAATGCCAGTACGTTATAACTTTAACCTATGACGGAACATCAAGCTTAAACGCATGCGTCGTCATTACTTAATTGCATTCAACCTGTAATCTAACAAGCATTGCAAGGATACTTCATCATCATCATCATCAGCCTATTAATGTCCCCACTGCTGGGGCACAGGCCTTCCCTAAGGATGGAATAGGGAGATTGGGCCATGATCCACCACACGGGCCCAGTGCGGATTGGTGGGTGCTAACGACTGCAGATGCAGCCGGGACCAACGGCTTAACGTGCCTTCCGAAGCACGAAGGAGCTCGAGATAGTAAATTTTTGGTCACCCATCTAATGACCGACCACTGCGAAAATTGCTTAACTTCAACGATCGCAGCTGAACGCGCTAACCACTTGCGCCATCGAGCTCCTCAAGGATACTTGCTCCTATATAAAACTGTTCATGACTGCCTTACATACATGTTTTTTTCTATATATATAATATGCAGGTTGCAAACAGCACTGCCACCGTTAGCTTAGGCTATATTAATATTAAGAAGCTGAAGAGTTTGTTTGAATGTTTGTTTGCGCGCTAATCACAAGAAGTACTTTTCCGATTTGAAAAATTCTTTTTGTGTTTGATTGAGCATTTATCGAGAAAACATAAGGATACAACCAATAGGAGCAGAGCACCAATGAAAAATGTTGCAAATTCGGGAAAATATAAGCTTCTGTTGCGTGCGCTGCGTAAGCGGCGGAATTGTTCTCCTGTAAAAGTTCTATGAAAAAGTCCGCGACAGCATATGTCTCTCTTTATAATAGCTTTTAAGGATGTACCACTATAAATTTTTACCTCAAATTATTGCAGGTAAAACCGCAGGGCACCGCTCGTTACGCATATATATAAAACCGTATATCTCGAGCCGGGGACATTTCAAAATCTTTTATTGGATTTCTTTTGTCTCTGTAAATTAAATATTTTTCAGTTTTGGTCACAACCATAATACTAACCAAACCAAAATCTAGTATTGGGCAATAAGTATAGTACCCCGCTTACAACCCCAAGTACAAACTTTGGCAGATACGTACCCCAATAACTAGCGAGAAAGTATTGGTATCGCCATGTCAAATTTTCTATTGAAAAAGCTAGTTTTAATAGAATCTGACGTTGGCAATACGAATACGGATTTGTCAAAGTTCGTAATTGTGTCACCATGTCAAAAACGGAACCCTTATAGGAACTCTTGGTTGTCCGTCTGTCCATCGGTCCGTCTGTCTGTCTATCAAGCTTCCAATCGTTCCCGAAATAAAACCCCTTTAACGCGTAGAGGTGTCGAATTTAAAATTTAAACCTTAAACTTAGGCTAATGTAAAAAAGATACGGCCGCTTAAGTTGCGTACCTACAAAGTACGGAACTCTAGATCAGCGAGCCCGACTCGCACTTGTCCAGATAAAAAAAAAGAAATTGTTAATGGTTGCTGGTATAAACATTATTAAACTTACAAAAGCGGTCTTCCCTTTGCATCCAATCATCCTTTTCAATAGGAATTCACCAAATTGCAACGATGAAGGTACAAGGACGTCCATTGGACCGTAAACGTAATTGGGATTCTTGAACATTTTCTATTTGATTTTTCGCTTTGCTTAACAAACATACACGCACGTCCGCTCGCGGCGACCTTTGGCACAATACTGATTGTTTTATCATAACAGTGCGATAATTTGCATCAGTAATAGTTGTATAATAATTGACGTAATGATAAGGTAAGATTTGATAAGGAAGTAAACAGTTGGTGTGATACTATGATATAACAAGTGCTGATCAAACTGAGTAACAAACACAGTGAAAAGTTTAAAACTGGTTAGACTGGGTTAACTCAAACTGGTTAACTCTGACAAAACTAAGTATGGAAAGGTAGGGCGGATTTTCGCGTTGAATTTTATTTATTTACTAGGTGTACCAGCGAACTTCGTACCGCCATAAAAAATAGGGGTTGGTGGTAGAAAGTTGAAAATTTAGGGTTGTATATATTTTTGTATATACAACCCTAAATTTTCAACTTTATATATCATAAAAAAATGAAAAAAAATATCTAAAATTAAAAAAGAAATTAGGGGTAGATTACCCTTAACATTTAGGGGGATGAAAAATAAATGTTGTCCGATTCTCAGACCTACCCAATATGCACACAAATTTTCATGAGAATCGGGAAAGCTGTTTCGGAGGAGTTTAACCACAAACACCGCGACACGAGAATTTTATATATAAGATTGACCTTTTCGCAGCCTTTGCAGGAATGCATCGTTAGAATAATGATTTTTTATTTATAGTACAATCCGTTTATTATGACTTCGAAGGGAATCGACAAACACGTCATACTAAACGGACGTCATACAAAGCATTTTTGTGAAAAAAGATTGTGAGATGAGTTTGATTCTCCATTTTCTAATCAGCATATTATTGCACCTTTTTCCTCAGTCGTAAATGCTTTTTTCACATAGCATATCACTAAAACAATGCTTCATGTTCAACTTGAATCAACGAACATTACCGTAGGTGTAAAGAACCATGTCGGTCACTATAAACGCACAAAATTGATTAAAAATGGGTCATAATAAGCGACATGTCACTGCGAAGTCATTATATCCGACATTGTTACAATGAATTTTATATGAAAACCAAACTTCGTTGTGTAATTACGTCATAATAGGCGGTTGGTCAATATAGGCGGAGTCATAATAAACGGATTCTGCTGTACTTTGTCGAGCTACCTTCGAAAGACTTGTTCAGCGTTCGGATATTTCGTTGGAAGATTTTTAAAACTTTATTATCTATGCATGCATTTATTAGTTGCGGCGAGCTGGCTTCCTTCTTCCTTTCCACCTTGATGAAATTTTCTTCTGCGTCACAATTTGGATTTTGTGATTCAACAACACATTTGCTTACTTGTGACATTAAATTGCAGGCGGTCCGTTTACAAGCAAAATACAATAACGTATGGAAGTTCAATTAATCTTTCAACTCCTCTTTGCATTGTTCGAAATGTTATTGGCAAATTTCTGATGTTATTGTTTATACATTTTAAGCAGGAAATATTTTTAAACTGTAGAACAAACTTAATGCAATTTAGCGTCCAGTTCAATTAAAGTTGGCAATGGCAGCGCCTTTAGATCTGAGTAGCAAAACTTATATGAACGCGCAATGGCGAATCATTGCTTTCATTAAATGTAGAAGCTAGGTAGATTAATAAAAGTTGTATTGGGAACAAAGTTCCTTTATTGTAACCTTATGTTTATATTCTAAATGATGTAGTGGAAGGTGACTTCAGAAGTGTCTCTGAAATCATTTTTCAACTTGACGACTCTGTATATAACAATACTGGGAGAAAAAAACAGCCCTTGTTGAGTTTCTTGCCGGTTATTCTCAGTACAAGGTCCCCGCCGTAGTTTTGAAACCGATGGCGTAGCTCCTTGACCGTCACAAGTGCTTGAAACAGCCTAGACTGATTAATGGTTTTTGATTTTTTCGGATAGTATGGAGGCTAGGCGAAATTTACCGTCACAACCTAGCGAGACAGGCAGCTGGGCGGGTAGCTGGATGGTTAGCGAGGTGACACTGACAGCTATGATTGTGGACTTAGTTTAAAGTTTTGTTTGGTAAGTGATGGACCGGGAGCGTGTGCAATGGACCGGGAGCGTGTGCGATGGATCGGGAGCGTTCGCACTAAGCTCATTGCGCACTGGGCCCATTCCGCTCTGGAAAAATAATATCTTATGTAGATGATACTGTTTTGCTTTTTTCCGCACATTCTGAGGCAGAAGTCCACACATAATGAAACTAATGAAAAGGTTCCAATGTTATACAGGGCGTCCCACGGCTACCTCACACGGAGGGAAAGTATATTAAATATTGAAGATAGGATATTTTATTGCAAGAAGACATCATTTTATTTTTTTTAAATTGCCTGCTATAGCTGGTAATTAAAAAAAGCACGACATATTGTAAATAAATAAAAAGATTATTTTATGCTAAATAACATAGCATTTTAAATGAAAGAAAAGTAATTTTTCACGAGTTTGATTCCCTGTTGAAGCAGGCGATTTTAACAAAAAATGCGAATGCAGTTCTAGTTATTATTAAAAATAAAATGATGTCTTCCTTCAGTAAAATATCCTATCTTCAATATTTAATATACTTTCCCTCCGTGTGAGGTAGCCGCGGGACGCCCTGTATATAACTGGCTGCAAAAGCATTTACTAATACTCAACTCTAGCAAAACTAAGTATGCGCAAATCCCCAATTGCACTAATTAACGAAAAACTGCACGCTTATAATTTTTAAAGTCTCCAATAATTGCCAGAGTCAATGTCCAATGGTCGATAGCGTTATCAAAATTAAATATCTAGATATAATAATTGACAATACTCTTTCTTTTAAGTCCCAGTTTAATGCTTTGAGCAATAAAGTCCGAAAACTAATATTTGCTGTGCTGATTGGTGGGTAGGGTAATTTTTTTAATGGAATAGGGAGATTGGGCCATGTTTCGCCACGCGAGCACAGTGCGGATTGGCGTGGTATATAAATATTTTTATCTTGGTTCCAGTAGTGTTCACGACACGTTTTTAGGTACATATTTTTAAGTCTAAGCACTACTAAGTTCACATAAGACAAGTTATGTTTATGTTGGGACTAAAATGTCCCAAATTTATTTTTATTGTTACAACTTCTAACTTCTACCGCAGATTCTACTGTAAGTAGTACCTTGAAAATTGAGATATGTAAAGATTCTAGCATTAATTATACCTTGTTTTAAACTTTCATGGTCGGAAAGATTATTGTAATTAAGGTTCTTTATAAATAAAGAAATAATAAATATTTTTTACACTCACGCCAATTAGCCTAGCGCCAAATACTTTGGCACCGTAGGCTTGTATTAATGGATACTAGTGTAACGGATAGAATACATATTGTACGAGCAAGCACGTACATCGTTACATCAGCATTGGTCTAGTACAAATTTAAGCTCAATTTTTTACCACGTACGACAAAACTGTGGAATATGTTGTCGCCAGCAGTGTTTCCGGACCAATACGACCCAAGAACCTTCAAAAGAGTGTACTCCTTCCTTAAAGGCCGGCATCGCATTTGTGATACTCCTGGTGTTGCAAGTGTCCATGGGCGACGGTGATCACTTACCATCAGGTGAGCCGTCTGCTCGTACGCCCCCTATAACATAAAAAAAAAGTACCCGTTGGAGGAGCTCGATGGCGCAAGTGGTTAGCGCGTTCGGCTGCGATCGTTGAAGTGAAGCAACTTTCGCAGTGGTCGGTCATTGGATGGGTGACCAAAAATTTACTATCTCGAGCTCCTCCGTGCTTCGGAAGGCACGTTAAGCCGTTGGTCCCGGCTGCATCTGCAGTCGTTAGCACCCACCAATCCGCACTGGGCCCGCGCGGTGGGTCATGGCCCAATCTCCCTATTCCATCCATAGGGAAGGCCTGTGCCCTAGCAGTGGGGACATTAATAGGCTGATGATGATGACCCGTTGGACCCTCCTAATTGGACCTTACCTACAAAAAAGTGCCCGTTCGACCTCCTATCAAGAACATGGTGCCCATTGGACCCTCAAAGACGTACTTACCGACACAATGGGACCTATTGGAGCTCTTAACTATTTGGCTAATTCTTTTGGAACGGTAAAGTACTGACCTAAATAACCTATTCATAATAAATTTTATTTCACAAAATCAGTTCGCAATTATCAACTCATCAAGTCGCGCGTACTCATAGCAATTATTATTTTTTAAGTAATTTTTAGTACTTTTTCCAAATATACAGTTTTAAACTTTTTATCAGTTTATCATTTATTAGTTCCAATACTGATACATATATAAGTATATTTATATAGAAATACATACATCCATGACTGGAGTGCAAATGCTCGTATTCATCACACAAACATCTGCCCCCACCGGGATTCGAACCTCTCGAGTAGGCGACACTTTGAAACTCGGCGTACAAACCAATCCGAGGTCGTCGAAATGTATTGGAAAAAAGACATGTATTGGTAACTTGCTAAAATTGAGGTACATGATAGAAATCCCGTAGATAAAATAAATTACTATAATTTATCACGACTATCACAATATGAACAAGAAAAGGATGCCGGAAAAGTTTATCTGCCAAAAAAGGTTTAAGTTCACTTTTTTTTTCATCTATACAACCTTAAGAACGTGGTCTGGTAACCAACAAACCGGACACAACTCTCAATGTCAGCGATTATGTAAACAACATTTCTCCGAGAGCGTAGCGATAACATTTCGATTTTGGGCACTTCAGTTGTCGCTTGACCACCAGCCAGGTGGAACTTTCGCTTTGTTTAAATGTTATTATTTTTAACACTGCGTTAATGACATTGTCTCCAGAAGAGGACTAAAAAAAGGCGATCTGAAAAAAAAACTCAAACACGCGCGAAACGATTTTAGATTCAAATTGAGAAAGAACCTTAAGAACCTTAAGAAACTCTTTGGACTCGATCAAACGTGATCTGGAAGTATAATGCACAGCAATCTGATTATGTACACAAAATGCATACTATTAATTTATTTGATGAATAAGATTAGTGTAAATTGTGAAAGTGATGACAGTTTCAAAGAAGCGAACGGAAACGGACTATTAGCCAGAACAATAGTTAAATTAAACCCGAAAAAAGTGACCGGTTCAAACAAAAAGAAAGGTGTCGGTAATAATTTTGAAGACATAACAATCATGGATGATAATGGACAGTTGAAAAGCTTGAAAATTAAATCGGCGGGTAAGAGAGTTGAAAGT